GCATGGGACTTGGCTAAAATTTGCTTTTGCGCAACACTCACAACCTAGGAAGATGCTTGCCATAGATGCAGGTGAATAATAATAATAAAAAAAACTTTATTTATATACCGCTCCATCTCCCCGAGGGGACTCAGAGCGGTTCCCAGGTTATATCACAAAACATACAAAGTAAAACAACATAACCATAAGTTTAACAAAACAAATATATGCATACAAATTGTCACCATAACACACATATATTAAAAGTAATCCTGCCTGTTCAAGGCAATTAAAAAATTTAAAAAGTCTGGGGCAAGATCTGTGCAAGCCCAAACATTCTAGGGGGCCCGGGAATTAAGTGCAATGCTATGGCAGGCAACAATATTAGGTCTGTGGTTGTTCATTCCGGGGCTGATTAGAGGAAGTGATCTGGGTAATTGGTAGGAAGAATAAGGCCGTATCTGACAATGTGTAGGGCTGAGTTAGAACTGGTCATTTTCAAAGGCTTGTTGAAACCACCAGGTCTTCAAGCTCTTATGAAAGGAGGGGAGGGATGGGGCCTGTCTTATTTCTCTAGGAAGGGCATTCCAGAGGCGGGGGCCACCACTGAGAAGGTCCTCTCTCTCGTCCCCACCAACCACGCTTGAGACGGTAGTGGGACCGAGAGGAGGGCCTCCCTGGAAGATCTTACAGTTCGTGCCAGTTCATAGAAGGAGATGCGTTCGCAGAGATACGCGGGGCCCGAACCATTTAGGGCTTTATAGGTCATGACCTGCATCTTGGGGATCACAACCAGACACAGTGAAGACATCTGCCCTTGCGCTATGCTACTCTGCTGCTGAGTATGCATGCCCAGTGTGGAACACATCTCACCACACTAAAACAGATGTGGCTCTTAATGAGACATGCTGCATTATCACGGGGTGTCTGCGCCCAACACCACTGGAGAAATTACACTGCTTAGCCGGTATTGCACCACCTGACATCCGCCGGGAAGTAGCAGCCAATAGTGAAAGGACCAAGGCAGAGACATCTCCAGCTCATCCCCTGTTTGGGTATCAGCCAGCACGTCAACGACTTAAATCAAGACATAGTTTTCTTAGATTTACAGAGACACTCGCTGGAACACCCCAGCAAGCGAGAGTCCAAAAGTGGCAGGCCCAAACCCAGCACCTCAATCCATGGGTGATACCAGATGAGAGACTCCCCCCTGGGCACACAGAAGACTGGGCGACTTGGAAGGCGCTGAACAGACTGCGCTCTGGCACCACGAGATGCAGAGCCAATCTTAAGAAATGGGCTACAGGGTGGAATCCTCGGCATGCGAGTGCGAGAAGAACAAACCACAGACCACCTGCTGCAATGCAACCTGAGCCCTGCCACATGCACAATGGAGGACCTTCTTGCGGCAACACCAGAGGCACTCCAAGTGGCCAGATACTGGTCAAAGGACATTTAACCAACTACCAAGTTTGCAAAATCTGTGTTTTTTTTAGAATTGTAACACAATGGTATGGTTGCTGATGACACGATAAATAAAAATATATACCTGCATCTTGAATTTGGCTCGGCAACTTATCGGCAGCCAACGAAGCTGTTTTAATAGGGGTGTTGTATGCTCCCTATAGTTTGCTCCAGTAAGGAGCCTGGCTGCCACCCGTTGTACCCATTCAAACTTCCGAGCCATGAAACATCAGGAGAGAATGCTTCTGGAACATGGCTATACAGCCCAGAAAACTCACAATCCAGAGGTTTCATACCAAACAAGTCAATTTGGAAAATGACTACTTTAATGCAGAAAGCCTGAAAACAACTGGCTTAGAGAATACATCGCATTTGGCAATTGATTTGTGATTCAAAGGCCAAGAAGTGCTATTTAAAAGTTAAAAGTACAGTAGCAATTCCCTCCAGCTCTAAGTCGTTTTGGAAGCTTGGTAAGGAAACAAGATGATGTGAATGTGAAGAGCAAAGGCAGATGGTAAGTTGTGAAAGCTGATTGGTAGCAGACGGCATTAACCAGATCAAGTGGTTTCCTGCTTCAGGCCGAGTTTTGTGGAAGCCTCAAGAGCATTCCCGGGACTGGCGACTTCCAGTGTCTCCCCTCACTCCCAATGCACAAGAACCACAGAGGAGGGGGAAGAAGGGAGAGAGGATCTCAGCAGACACATCCTTCATCTTTCTATTTGCTGCCTTTATCTAGAGGCCAAGACCTTTGCGGGGAAAGGGAGAGATGGTGAAGCTTATCTCGGCTTCCTCCACCAGACATTACTACATCTGGCAAGCAGATACATCTTCTGTCTCAGCTTCTATTAATAGCAACAGATGAAAAGATTATGGCATGATCTTCTTCATTCTCCCAGTGACCCTGCCTGGCAAATCTGTATCATTTTTGTTTTCTTCATTTGAAGATTTCCCCCCCCCCCCCACCAGACTCCATTCATACGTTCAGCCATGTTTACATGCATGCATGCTGTGAACCAAACCAGAGAATTCACAAGTGAGACAGGAGGCAAACCCAGCAATTTGGAATCTCACATATTATTCAGTGCAAATGCAAGTTTCACTGTGAAGCAAATCTCAAATCACGAGAGAAGTCAAAATAGTTGCTAACCAAGAAATCCAACAATTTCCTTTCATTGGCTCAGAAGTGTATGGCTTTAAGAGTAGGCTTTTGGACTCTTTTTCCAGTGACTATGGTCCCTCCCACACAGCTGTGGAAAATCCACATTGAACTGGAATATATGACAGTGTGGACTCAGATAACCCAGTTTAAAGCAGATATTGTGGATTATCTGCCTTGATATTCTGGGTTATATGGCTGTGGGGAGGGACTCCGTGGCCCCTTCTACACTGCCGTATAAAATCCAGATTATCTGCTTTGAACTGGATTATATAGCAGTGTAGACTCAGATAACCCAGTTTAAAGCAGATATTGTGGATTATCTGCCTTGATATTCTGGGTTATATGGCTGTGGGGAAGGGTTCCGTGGCCCCTTCTACACTGCCATATAAAATCCAGATTATCTGCTTTGAACTGGATTGTATGGCAGTGTAGACTCATATAATCCAGTTCAAAGTAAATAATGTGGATTATCTGTTGTGATAATCTGTAATATAGGGCAGTGTAGAAGGGTTGTTGTGAGTTTTCCGGGCAGCCCAAAAAACCTACAGCAACCCAGTGTTCCGGCCATGAACGCCTTCGACAATACAAAGCTTTAGCAGTTTAATCAACTTTTTCATGTTTTTCTGACAGAACCAATGAGGCAACGATATTGATAACCCAGGAATAAAAACGGTGTTACACAGTGTTTGCAAAGCTGACTGAATAGGCTAATCTTGCTTTTTCCAGGAGAAGTGCTGAAGCATTTTCTGCATGGGTTGCTGTGAGTTTTTCGGGCTGTATAGTCATGTTCCAGTAGCATTCTCTGCTGATGTTTCGCCTGCATCTGTGGCTGGCATCTTCAGAAGTTCTGTTGCCAATGAAGCAAGTGGGGTATATATATGTGTGTGTGTGTGGACTGTCCAGGGTGCGAGAGAAAGGGTTTGAAGCAAGTGTGAATGTTGCAATTAGCAAGCTTGGTTGGCCTAGAATTCACTTAAGTGATCCCTGTGGCTCCGTAGGTGACTGTGGAGCCCTATTCTTGATCTGCATGTTCTCCTGCATTTGGGGAAATCGCAGGGGTCAGCACACCCAGTGGAAGGCGTTCCCGGTCGGGGTTGGTTTGATGTGCCTTCCTCTTGGCATGTTTCTCTCTTTCACCCTCCATTCGTGCCTCTTCAAATTCTGCAGCACTGCTGGTCACAGCTGACCTCCAGATGGAGTGCTCAAGGGCCAGGGCTTCCCAGTTCTCAGTGTCTATGCCAGAGGTTTTAAGGTTGGCTTTGAGCCATCTTTAAATCTCTTTTCCTGTCCACCAACATTCCGTTTTCGTTCTTGAGTTCGGAGTAGAGCAACTGCTTTGGGAGACGGTGGTCGGGCATCCGGACAACGTGGCCAGTCCAGCGGAGTTGATGGCGGAGGACCATCGCTTCAATGTTGGTGGTCTTGCTTCTTCCAGCACGCTGACGTTTGTCCGCCTGTCTTCCCAAGAGATTTGCAGGATTTTCCGGAGGCAGCATTGATGGAATCGTTCCAGGAGTTGCATGTGACATCAGTAGACAGTCCACGTTTTGCAGGCATATAGCAGGGTTGGGAGGACTTTATAAACAAGCACCTTGGTAGCCCTACTGATGTCCCGGTCCTCAAACACTCTCTGCTTCATTCATTTAGCCTATAAATCCCTAAACGGTTCTGGCCCAACTTACCTGTCCGAACATATCTCCCCATATGAACCAGTAGGACTTTAAGATCATCTGGGGAGGCCCTGCTTTCGTTCCGGCCGTGTCATGAACACGTCTGGCGAGGGTGAGAGACAGGGCCTTCTCAGTGATGGCCCTTTGGCTATGGAATGCCCCTCCTAGGGACATTAGATCGGCCCCCTCCCTTTTAGCATTCGAAAGAAAAGTTAAGACTTGGCTGTTGGAGCAAGCGTTTGGCGATGCAGTGCGATAGACATAGGAATACGGATTAGCATTTGATGGCCTGGCAGTGCCTGGGGGAATCTTTTGTTGAGAGGTGATTAGATGTCTCAGATTGTTTCCCCTCTGTTGCTAATCAGGGTGGCCAGTTGAAACATTCACACCTGGCTCCAGCACACAAGAGTCCTTTGTCCCACCTTGGTCATTCCACAGATATATAAACCCATTTTCCTAGTTCCAACAGACCTCACTACTTCTGAGGATGCTTGCCATAGATGCAGGCGAAACGTCAGGAGAGAATGCCTCTAGAACATGGCCATATTGCCCGAAAAAAACCTACAAGAACCCAGATTCTATGACCAGGGACGTCCTTTCCTCCTCCTGGGGGAGGCAGAGGCAGGATCCTGCTGAGCCCGGGCCCTTTGTCTTCCTTCGTAAAGGGAGGGGGGATCCAATGAGTTCCTTCCTTCCTTCCCCCTTTCGCCTTGTCAATCAAAGTCAGCGTGGAGCTGCCGGGTTGCGCCTTCGCCGCCTCCCAACAGGTTGGAAAGCCATTAATTACAGCCTGGGCCATGCAGCTCTGCGCTCGTGCTGCCGACGCTCAAGCCACCGCCGGGACTTTTCTACTGCTGCTGCTGCTGCTCTTGCCGCCTCCGCTTTCTTTGCTGTGCTGCCCATGGAGCGTTAGGGCTCAGCATGGCCCTCCGGCTCCTCCTGGCTCCTTGCTGGTCGCTCCTGCTCCTCGCCTGCGCTAAGGTAAGCAACGGAAAAGGGCCACCTCCCCCTCCCCAAGGGTTCGGTTTGCCCTTGCCCATCCCATTTCTTTCAGTTTCAAACAGGGCTTTGGATTCTCCCTGGGTGAGAGCTACTTGGTGCTGCGTTTGAACTGAATTGCAGCTTTGAGGGGCTTTTGAGCCCCCTCTGTGGCAAGCAAGAGAGCAAAGAAGCCTCCATAGAGAATCATGTTGACTTTGGTGGAGAGGTGGTTGACAAAGTAGGGGAAGTGGTCAACATTTTCTCATGTTACACCATTAAGCTGTATCTCTGGCATTGGAGAGGGATTGGCTGGTGACTGTTGGAAGAGCACTTTGGTTTTCTCAACATTCAATGACAGGCCGAGCTTCTCGTATGCTTCTGCGAAGGTGTTTAGAGTGGCTTGTAGGGCTTCTTCTGAATGCGCACTGACGACATTGTCATCAGCATAGGTAAAGGTAAAGGTAGTCCCCTGACATTAAGTCCAGTCATGTCTGACTCTGGGGTGTGGTGCTCATCTCCATTTCTAAGCCGAAGAGCCAGCATTGTCTGTAGACACCTCCAAGGTCATGTGGCCGGCATGACTGCATGGAGCGCTGTTACCTTCCCGCCGGAGCGGTACCTATTGATCTACTCACATTTGCATGTTTTCGAACTGCTAGGTTGGCAGAAGCTAGGGCTGACAGCGGAAGCTCACGCCGCTCCCCGGAATCGAACCTGCGAGCTGGATCATTAATGGCCCACTGGCAGATTTTCCTTTCTGGTCCCTTCTTTTTTTGGGGGGGGGGGGGGGGGGGGGGGGGGGGGGGGGGGGGGGGTGGGGGGCGACCTTTCGATCAACAAGCTCAGCAGCTCAGTTCTTTAACCCACTGCGCCACCGGGGGCTCCCTGTCATCAGCATACTGGAGTTCTATAACAGATGTTGTTGTAACCTTGGTTTTGGCTTTCAGTCTAAAGTTACACCATTAAGCTGTATCTCTGGCATTGGAGAGGGATTGGCTGGTGACTGTTGGAAGAGCACTTTGGTTTTTTCAATGTTCAATGACAGTCTGAGCTTCTCATATGCTTCTGCAAAGGTGTTTAGAGTGGCTTGTAGGTCTTCTGAATGCGCACAGACGATGTTGTCATCAGCATACTGGAGTTCTATAACAGATGTTGTTGTAACCTTGGTTTTGGCTTTCAGTCTAATGTTACACCATTAAGCTGTATCTCTGGCATTGGAGAGAGATTGGCTGGTGACTGTTGGAAGAGCACTTTGGTTTTTTCAATGTTCAATGACAGTCTGAGCTTCTCATATGCTTCTGCAAAGGTGTTTAGAGTGGCTTGTAGGTCTTCTGAATGCGCACAGACGATGTTGTCATCAGCATACTGGAGTTCTATAACAGATGTTGTTGTAACCTTGGTTTTGGCTTTCAGTCTAATGTTACACCATTAAGCTGTATCTCTGGCATTGGAGAGAGATTGGCTGGTGACTGTTGGAAGAGCACTTTGGTTTTTTCAATGTTCAATGACAAGCCGAGCTTCTCGTATGCTTCTGCAAAGGTGTTTAGAGTGGCTTGTAGATCTTCTTCTGAATGCGCACAGATGACGTTGTCATCAGCATACTGGAGTTCTATAACAGATGTTGTTGTAACCTTGGTTTTGGCTTTCAGTCTGCTGAGGTTAAATAGCTTGCCATCTGTCCGATAGATGATTTCCACTCCGGTGGGAAGCTTCCCATCAACAAGGTGAAGTATCATAGCGATGAAGATGGAGAATAAAGTTGGGGTAATAACACATCCCTGTTTGACACCTGATTCTACCTGAGTCTGAATGGCTGGTAATGAAAAGTGGTGCAAGTTCTTCAACTTGCACCACTCTCTACTTGCAATGCTCTCTACGTGGGGTTGCCTCTGAAGACTGCTAGGAAGCTTCAACTAGTCCAAAGAGCGGTAGCCAGATTACTAACAGGAGCGGGGTACAGGGAGCATACTATTCCTCTGTTGCGCCAGCTCCACTGAGCTTACAAGCACAATTCAAATTGCTGGTGTTGACCTATAAATCACTAAACGACTCCGGCCCAGTTTACCTGTCCGAACGGATTCTCCACTATGAACCATCAAGGTTGTTAAGATCTTCTGGAGGGGCCCTGCTCTCTGTCCCACCACCCTCGCAAGTGCGTCTGGTGGGGATGAGGGACAGGGCCTTCTCGGTGGTGGCCCCTCGGCTCTGGAACTCTCTCCCACTGGAGATTAGAACTGCACCTTTTCTCCTGACTTTTAGAAAATTGGTGAAGGCCTGGCTCTGGAATGTAGCATTTGATGAGTAAGTCAATAACTTTTGACCACACGGACAGATGGTAATGAATAATGAATTTTGTTTTTTCTTTGACGACTTGGCCTTATGTAAGTACATGACTGCTTTTTGATGTATTTTTATGTATTAGTGTGTTATGGGGTGTGATGTTTTAAACTACTGTTCAGGAATCTTGTTGTAAACCGGCCTGAGTCCCTCTCCAGAGGTGAGAAGACCGGTATATAAACGTTCTAAATAAATAAATAATAAATTCAATAACACATTTTTTACAAATTGGGTAAAAAAATAAAGCGTAATGACCATTATGTAAAAAGATTCTAGTTGGCTCTCTGTATCCACAAATTCTCCATCCTTGTATTCAACAGCCCTTTGAAAGCAACCATCAGGCTGATGTGACCCTTTATTAAAATGCATTTTGACACCCCTGCTCTAAGTCTATGTGAAATAAACAATAAATCATATATTTTTAAATCTATATATATATAAATGTAATGTTTGTTTGTGGGGTTAGCATAACTCAAAAACCACTGGATGAATTGACACCAAATTTGGGCACAACACACCTATCAGGCCAACGAGTGACCATCACAAAAAAAATTTGATTTTGTCATTTGGAAATTGTAGTTGCTGGGATTTATAGTTAACCTGCAATCAAAGAGTATTCTGAACTCCACCAAGGATGGAATTAAACCAAACGTGGCACACAGGACTCCCATGACCAACAGAAAACACTAGAAAGGGTTGGTGGGCACTGATCTTAAGTTTGGGAGTTGTAGTTCAGCTACATCCAACGAGCACTGTGGACTCAAACAATGGTGGATCTGGACCAAACTTGGCTTGAATATTCCATATGCCCAAATATGAACACAGGTGGAATTTGGGGGAAGTAGACATTGACATTTGGGAGTTGTAGTTACTGGGATTTATAGTTCACCTACATTCAAAGAGCATTCTGAGCCTCACTATTGACAGAATCGGGGCAGACTTCAGACACAGAACCCCCATGACCAACAGAAAACACTTAAGGCCATCCAGTCCAACTCTCTTCACCAGGGCAAGAAAACATAATCGAAGCCCTCCTGACAAAGAGCCATCCAGCCATAGATATAGATAGAAATATATGATTCACACACACGGCTGAGTCAGAATTAGAATTCTGGTCTCCAGTGTCATAGTCCAATGCTCAAACGACGACACCACTCTTGCTTCTGGACAATCAGTATCCTGATGCTGAATACGCTGTGGGAATGAGACACTTGATGAATGGCTACCCTATTGCATTTCCACAGGATATTGTATACATGTGGCATCCAGATAAGTGTTCATTGCTGGATATCTTGTAGAGCTGCAAAGGATGTTGGGCTGCAGTGGTTGAATGTGTACCCATCATAGAATCATAGAGTTGGAAGAGACCTCATGGACCATCCAGTCCAACCCCCTTCCAAGAAGCAGGAAAATTGCATTCAAAGCACCCCCAACAGATGGCCATCCAGCCTCTATTTAAAAGCTTTCAAAGAAGGAGCCTCTACCACACTCTGGGGCAGAGAGTTCTACTGCTGAACGGCTCTCATAGTCAGGAAGTTCTTCCTCATGTTCAGAAGGAATCTCCTTTCTTGTAGTTTGAAGCCATTGTTCCATGTCCTAGTCTCCAGGACAGCAGAACACAAGCTTGCTCCCTCCTCCCTATGACTTCCTCCCACGTATTTATACATGGCTATCATATCTCTTCTCAGTCTTCTCTTCTTCAGGCTAAACGTTCCCAGCTCTTTAAGCCTCTCCTCATAGGGCTTGTTCTCCAGACACTTGATCATCTGAACTTTATCTTGAAAGAGGATCTGAGGACGACTTGAAAAGGATCCTGGGACATACCTTTTAGAGAACTATACAGAAACAGAATCAGTTTCCACAAAGAGCCAGTATAATGCATACCATTGGGTTATTGTTCCACGTATTTATTATTTATTTATTTAAAACTTTTGTAGCCCGATCTTCTCTACCTCCGTAGAGGGACTCAGACCGGCTAACAGCAAGGATTCAATGCTAACAATACAATCTAAAACATCGTACATCAACAATAAATTAAAATACATATAGACTAAAATACATAAAAGCCAGTTTGTCAAGATAAAATCATGTCTCACTCAGTCCGCATATGTCAGGGGTCCTCAGACTTTATGAACAGGCCACAGTCCCTCAAACTGTTGGAGGGCCGGATTATATTTTGAAAAAAACATGAATTCCTATGCACATTGCAAATATCTTATTCGTAGTGCAAAAACACTTTAAAACAATACAATATTACAGATAGTGCCATTGCTGTTGCCCGTTTTTGATCCAAAGATATTTAGCAACCTGCGCTCCTTCTATTTTTATCAGTTTTATACTAATTTATGCAATGCTTTTGATACGAAATAAATAAATAAATAACCTGGAAAGATCCTTGTTTTTTTCTCCCTAAAGACTCAGGATCTCCTCCCCTGCCCTCCCGGCCCACATTTGTAAAGTCCCGCTCCTCTCCCCTCCCGCCGTTCTCACATTTGGTGCCTCCACAGGGGGGTGAGAGAGTGTGTCCCACTCACTCCAGGTGTTCTGTGAAGGAGGCAAAGGCACACCTTCTGACCTGAAAGAGGAGCTCTAATTAAAGCTCTGTGCTCTTTAATAACACTTGTCTCCCGGCAGCTGTAAAAACCCCTCTGTCAAACCCTCCTCATTATTACAAAACCGTCATTCAGAGGGGAGGCCAGCGAGCACTACCCCTGTCATTATAAATGGAGGAGGCAGCCTCGTCACCACTTCAATCGCTTTGCTTGAACTTCCCAGATTTCATGGGTCACCAAACGTATTGTCGCCTTCTTTCTCAGAGGCCTCGGCAGAAACCTTCCCATTTCCACACTATGAATAGCTAGAGGGACATTTCTCTCTCTCTCTCTCCTTCTCTCATGTCCCCATCCAGGGAGGAGAAGATTGTTATCTGCTCCCAAATGAGACCTAGGTTACAATGCTATTCTGCGCTACTATGTCAGGCACCTGTTTTTAAAATTACAAATGGCTCGCACTTATTTTTTGCCCCACACAATCCCCACCCCCACCCCGGAGCTTGGCTTTTTCCTATACTCACACAGAGAGTTACCTGTGCTGGCTTTAGCCTATACTTACTTACTTAGGCAATCCCTCGTTGGCCGAGTAGGATAGTCTACCAGGATCAGTATTCTGGTGACTGTGGAGCCCTATTCTTGATCTTCATCTTCTCCCGCAGTGAGGGCATTGGTTTCCAGGTTGAAGGCGGTGCCGGTCGGGGTTGGCTTGATGCGCCTTCCTCCTGGCACATTTCTCTCTTTCACCCTCCATTCGTGCCTCTTCAAATTCTGCAGCACTGCTGGTCACAGCTGACCTCCAGCTGGAGCGGTCAAGGGCCAGGGCTTCCCAGTTCTCCATGTCTATGCCAGACAATTTAAGGTTGGTTTTGAGCCCATCTTTAAATCTCTTTTTCTGTTCAAAGCATTCCGTTTTCCGTTCTTGAGTTCAGAGTAGAGCAATGCTTTGGGCATCCAGACAACGTGGCCGGTCCAGCGGAGTTGATGGCGGAGAACCATCGCTTCAGTGCCGATGGTCTTTGCTTCTTCCAGCATGCTGACGTTTGTCTGCCTGTCTTCCCAAGAGATTTTCAGGATTTTCCGGAGGCAGCATTGATGGAATCGTTCCAGGAGTTGCATGTGACGTCTGTAGATAGTCCACGTTTTGCAGGCATATAGCAGGGTTGGGAGGACAATAGCTTTATAAACAAGCACCTTGGTAGACCTACGGATGTCCTGGTCCTCAAATACTCTCTGCTTCACTCATTTAGCCTATAAAGCCCTAAACGGTTCTGGCCCAACTTACCTGTCTGAACATAACTCCCCATATGAACCAGCTAGGACTTTAAGATCATCTGGGGAGGACCTGCTCTTGTTACCGCCAGCGTCACAAACACGGCTGGCAGGGACAAGAGATAGGACCTTCTCAGTGGTGGCCCCTCAGCTATGGAATGCCCCTCCTAGGGACATTTGATCGACCCCCTCCCCTTTAGCATTCCGAAGAAAAGTTAAGACTTGATTGTTCAAGCAAGCGGTTGGCAGTGCAGTGCCATAGACATAGGAATACGGAACGATTGGATGATGATCTTGGACAATCCTTTTTATTAAGACACATTTGTGACTATGTTTTTAACTGATCTTGTTATGATTTTATGCTATATGTCAATGTTTTTAATTGTTTTATATTGAACTGTTGCCTTGTTAACCACCCTGAGTCACCTGTGGGCTAAGAAGGGCAGTATACAAATAGAATAAATAAATAAATAAATAAGTAAAAGGAAATGCGATCATGCAGATAGGCGGGTCCCAAACCATGCAGGGCTTTGCTAGGTAAGAACCTTCACCTTGAATTGGGACTGGAAAATAAACGGCAGCCAATGGAGTTCCTTAAACTGGGAGGTTGATTGCAATCTGTAATTCGCACCAGTTAGTAGTCTGGCTGCTGCTTGTTGGGCCAGTTGAAATTTCTGAGCCATTTTCAAGGGCAGTCCCACGTAGAGCGCATTGCAGTAGTCAAGTCTAGAGGTAACTAAGGCGTGGACCATCATGGCCAAATCTTGGGCAGATTGCACTCTTTCAGCCTCAGAGGTAATAAACCTTCTTTTAACAAATCCTGCCAAGAAAACACAGTAACGGGATTGCCTCAGGGTTGTTATATGTTGGAAGTGACTTGAAGGCACATAGAAACAATATTTACCTGGCATGGCTCTGGAGTTCTCAAGCTAACCCTTCCCTGTTTTTGTCAGGACAGTAGTGAGCCTGCAGAAGGAGCGGGTACCTGGAATGAAGAGATCACCAAGTGGTGGGGGGAATGGAGCTCCTGGTCCACCTGCTCCCGTACCTGTGGAGGGGGAGTCATGTCCCGAGAGAGGCACTGCCTACGGCAGCGGTAAGTAACTGAGCAGGGCAGTGGGAACGTAGGCTTATTTGATAAAAAAAATTCCTTCCTTTCTGGTTTAAAACTGGCTTCTCTGGCTTGAGCGGAGGCCAGGGACCAGAAGCAGGAAAAGCAAGCAGGGTAAATTTTTTCCTTCTCTGGTTTAAAACTTGCTTCTCTGGCTTGAGCCAAGGCCAGGACATTCCTTCCTTTTCTGGATTAAAACTGGCTTCTCTGACTTGAGCAGAGGCCAGGGACTAGAAGCGGGAAAAGCAAGCGGGGTAAATTCTTTCCTTCTCTGGTTTAAAACTGGTTTCTCTGGCTTGAGCCAAGGCCAGGAAATTCCTTTTCTAGTTTAAAACTGGCTTCTCTGGCTTGAGCCAAGGCCAGGGACCAGAAGCGGGAAAAGCAAGTGGGATAAATTCTTTCCTTCTCTGGTTTAAAACTGGCTTCTCTGGCTTGAGCCGAGGCCAGGAAATTCCTTTCCTGGTTTAAAACTGGCTTCTCTGGCTTGAGCAGAGGCCAGGGACCAGAAGCAGGAAAAGCAAGCGGAGTAAATTCTTTCCTTCTCTGGTTTAAAAATGGTTTCTCTGGCTTGAGCCAAGGCCAGAAAATTCCTTCGTTTTCTGGTTTAAAACTAGGTTCTCTGGCTTGAGTGGAGGCCAGGGACCAGAAGTGGAAAAAGCAAGCGGAGTAAATTCTTTCCTTCTCTGGTTTAAAACTTGTTTCTCTGGCTTGAGCCAAGGCCAGGAAATTCCTTCCTTTCTGGTTTAAAACTGGCTTCTCTGGCTTGAGCAGAGGCCAGGGACCAGAAGTGGGAAAATTTATTTATTTATTTATTTACTTTACTTATATACTGCTGTTCTCAGCCCGAAGGCGATTCACAGCGGTTCACAACAAATAAGAACAGCAAAAATTCAATACTACAGTGTAAAAACAGTTAACAACCTAACATATTACATAATTAATAAACAATTACTACAATAACCATTCACTATTCACTACCGTCTCATCATCAAAAACATGATCCAGATTCATCATCCATTATTCCGTTCCAATGTTCATTAACCAATCATTGCACTAATTATTTGAACGCCTGCTCAAACAGCCAGGTCTTCACTTTCCTGCGGAATACCATTAGAAATGGTGCTAGTCTAAAAGCAAGCAGGGTAAATTCTTTCCTTCTCTGGTTTAAACCTGGCTTCTCTGGCTTGAGCCAAGGTCAGGAAATTCCTTGCTTTCCTGGTTTAAAACTGGCTTCTCTGGCTTGAGCCAAGGCCAGGGACCAGAAGCGGGGAAAAGCTGAATAATTTCCAACTCACTTCATGAGTCGTAACAAAAATGGCGGAAAAATCTTCGGAAGGGCAAAGGGACTTCTGGTTTTCTTAAAAACTTGAAAATTGCTTTGAAAAGGCAATTTTTAAAAATTTAATCCAAATTACGAAGATTCCAACGGTACCTAACCATGCCTAGTGGGAAGGACTTGAAGCTACCAAATGCAGCAAAACGATAGCAGATTCAAAACAATGAGCTCAATCAGCTGGCAAAGCAAAGCTGGTACATTGCTTTCAAAGTACCACTTTGCTTTGTTTATGCCCAGTTTCTCTCATTTCCTCTTCATGCTTACTTTGCGCCTCTTCTCCTTTTTAATATTGTGTTCCCCGCTGGCGTGTGTGCGAGGTGCAGCAGCTAAACATCCTGAGCTGATTCCCTGATTGAAGGGAAAGGAGAGGAGGGGGAATTGCTCAATGACGATGACAGATTTCGTTCTCATGAATTCCAGCAGCACTCTCTCATCCTCAGCCCGCCCACTCAAATTCCCCTCCAGTTGGCCTGCAAAAGCTATGCAGGAGCCCCTACCTCCACTCAAAAGAGTTGAATGAGACCCCCTGGGGAGGCTCTTCTTTTAACCTGCTACTCTAGATCCCAGGATGCTAATGAAGGCTGGCATCTAAAAGCTCACTATGTTATGCTTATCCTCACCCCCCCCCCACACCCCCCAGCTTGTTTCTTTTCTGCATGAACACACTTCTGAGCAGAGGAAGCTTGAACAACCCCCCCCCCCTTTCCTTCCGTCAAAAGGAGGGGGATGCTTCTTTTATGTGGGCTGGCTGGATGCATAATTAGGGTCCGGATATGCTGAGGTGCCTTCCGTCTGGAGATGGCAGTGATTCTCAAACATACTTTGAAATAAAGTGTTGTGCTGACAAGGCACACCCATGTCTTCTTAAAAGGCGAGACACTGTTCTGGTCCTGGTCACCCCATCTTTTTTTAAAAAGTGTTTATATGTATATACATCTGGATATAGTGGGAGTATTAAGAAAAGCAGAGGGGTATGATCCATACTCCAGACTTATTAAGAGATGACGCATGAAACAAAAAATTTGAAAGAGCCTCTGTCTTTCTAGTGAGTTGACGGTCTACTCCCCTCCCCATCGAACTCACTATTTTAGTATTGAGCTAGGTAGCCTTTTCACTCTGTAGCTCAGGAAGCCTAATTTCACCAAAATAGGCTCATGATATTGACCTACTAATAGTGTTAGTGTTGGATACCTGTGGTTTGGGATAAATGTGCTGAGTTGCATAGATTCTTCTGAGTGTCAGTCCCAACCTCTAGATTTCAGAGGAACAAGCATGTTGAGGACAGTTGCTGCTGTTGGAATCAAGGTTGCCACCTCAGTATTTTTCCCTGAAGAGATCACACTGCTAAGTATTCAAAGGGGGGGGGGGGGGAGATAGTGGCATATTTATTTATCGTGTCATCAGCAACCATTGTATTACAATTCTAACAGAGCAAAACAAACACAGAGATTAAAAAGAAAAAAAGAAAAAAAAAGAAAGAAAGAAAAAAAAACCCACACAGATTTTGCAAATTTGGTATTTGGTTAAATGTCCTTTGACCAGTATCTGGCCACTTGGAGTGCCTCTGGTGTTGCCGCAAGAAGGTACTCCATCGTGCATGTGGCAGGGCTCAGGGTGCATTGCAGCAGGTGGTCAGTGGTTTGTTCTTCTCCGCACTCGCATGCCGAGGATTCCACCCTGTAGCCCCATTTCTTAAGATTGGCTCTGCTCTCGTGGTGCCAGAGCGCAGTCTGTTTAGCGCTTCCAAGTCGCCAGTCTTCTGTGTGCCCAGGGGGGAGTCTCTCATCTGGTATCACCCACGGATTGAGGTGCTGGGTTTGAGCCTGCCACTTTTGGGCTCTCGCTTGCTGAGGTGTTCCAGCGAGTGTCTCTGTAGATCTTAGAAAACTATGTCTTGATTTAAGTCGTTGACGTGCTGGCTGATACCCAAACAAGGGATGAGCTGGAGATGTCTCTGCCTTGGTCCTTTCACTATTGGCTGCTACTTCCTGGCGGATGTCAGGTGGTGCAATACCGGCTAACAGTGTAATTTCTCCAGTGGTGTAGGGCGCAGACACTCTGTGATAATGCGGCATGTCTCATTAAGAGCCACATCTACTGTTTTAGTGTGGTGAGATGTGTTCCACACTGGGCATGCATACTCAGCAGCAGAGTAGCATGGCGGGGCGGATGTCTTCACTGTGTCTGGTTGTGATCCCCAGGTTGTGCCAGTCAGCTTTCGTATGATATTGTTTCTAGCACCCACTTTTTGCTTGATGTTCAGGCAGTGCTTCTTGTAGGTCAGAACACGGTCCAGAGTGACTCCCAGGTATTTGGGTGTGCTGCAATGCTCCAGTGGGATTCCTTCCCAGGTAATCCTCAGAGCTCGGGATGCTTGTCTGTTCTTAAGGTGAAAGGCGCATGTCTGTGTTTTAGATGGATTAGGGATCAGTTGGTTTTCCCTGTAAGGCAGTAAGAGCACCTAGAGCTTCGGAGAGCTTCTTTTCAACCATCTCAAAGCTCCCTGCTTGAGCGTAATGGCACGATCATCAGCATAGATGAAACTCTCTGTCCCTTCTGGCAGTGGCTGGTCATTTGTGTAGATGTTGAACATGGATGGAGCAAGCACGCTCCCCTGAGGCAGGCCGTTCTTCTGTTTCCGCCATCTGCTTCTCTGGCCCTGGAACTCAACAAAAAAGCTCCTATTTTGTAGCAGGTTTCCTATGAGGCGGGTGAGGTGGTAGTCCTTTGTGATATTATACATTTTTCTCAGGAGGAGGCGGTGGTTCACAGTATCATAGGCTGCTGACAAGTCTATGAAGACAGCTTAGTGGCATGCAAGATGAGTAAGACAACCCCCCTTCTAAGCCCCTTCTTAAGATAATAATAATAAAAATTTATTTATTTATTTATTTATTTGGGGTGTTTCTACCCCGCCCTTCTCAACCCCCTAGGGGGGGACTCAGGGCGGCTTACAAAAGGCACAGTTCCATGCCTAACAATTATAACATACAATGGAATATACAATACACAAATTTACCATTTACAATACACAAATTTACCATATAAAATCACAGTTATCACTAATATACCACTTTTCTCAGCCCTCAGGCAACTCAAAGCGGTTAACAACAGCAAAATTCAATGCAAAACATCATAAAACGATTATGGGACAGTTAAAACAATAGCATCATCAACAATTAAACATCAATATAACAATCATTAGCATCTCATCAGTAAAATCAGAATCCAATCTCATCATCCATTAATCTGTGTTCCTATATTCATTACACTGCTTAATCGAATGCTTGTTCGAACAGCCAGGTCTTCACTTTCCTCCGAAACTCCAATAGAGATGGGGCCGATCTGATATCTATAGGAAGGGCGTTCCACAGTCGAGGGGCCACCATTGAGAAGGCCCTGTCTCTCGTCCCCGCCAACCATACTTGTGGGGGGGGGGGAGGAGATAGTGGCATGCAAGATGAGTAAGACAAACCCCCCTTCTAAGCCTCTTCTTGAGATAAGACATGTGAAAGGAATTTGAAGAAGGAATCCCTCACTCTAATTTATAATAATAATCATCATCATAATCATAATAATAATCATCATCATCTTTATTTATACCCCACCACCATCTCCCCCAATGGGGACTCAGAGTGGCTTACATGGGGCCAAGCCCGAACAACAAATTACAATACAAAAATACAAATTGCAATAAAATAAATAACATAACATTGAAGTATGAAACATCAAAGTATATAAACAATATACAAAGAACATAGGAACCAAACATAATGACAGAGAGTGGGCCGCATGTACATAAAATGATTTAAAAACTCAGAGTGAGATAAAGGGGCAGAACTATTTGTAAGGGAGAGCTCATAGAGAGACGGGGAAATAAACAAACCTTTGTACATGGGTGGGGGGACGGGACTCCTGGGTCAAGAGCTAACTACTCATTGAGGACTGGAGACTTGTGCAGTCAGGGATGAAACCCAACAGATTTCCCTTGGAATAATTTCCATTGAAGTCAGTGGTGTCTGTTCTGAGTAGATGTGGAAAGGGTTGAACTTTCATAGAATTATAGAGTTAGATGAGACCACATGGGCCATCTAGTCCAACTGCCTGCCATGCAGGAAAAGCACAACCAACCCTCAACAGATGACCATCTCACCTCTGTTTGAAAATCTCCAAAGAAGGAACCTCCTCCACATTCTGAGGCAGTAAGTTCCACTGTTGAAAAGCTTTTACAGTCAGGAGGTTCTTCCTAATGTTCAAGTGGATTCTCCTTTCCTATAATTGGAACCCAGACTCCAAGGAAGAAAAACAAGGTACAAAATGAACACCCAAGCCCTTCAGGAGCCCTCCAAATGAGCCCTTCTCCAAACAATACTCAAGGATCGTCTACCCATAGGACACCCTGAAAATGTTGAGGAACATTGGAAAAAACTGAAGACCTCCATCATCACAGCCTGCGAAGAAACTATTGGATATCAAACCCAAGAAACATCAAGATTGGTTTGACAGCAATGACAATGAGATCCAGCAGCTAATTGACAAGAAAAGGAAAGCCTTCCAAACATGGCAGAGAGACGTCAACTGTGCTGCTAAGAAAAAGATCTATGCCAATGCAAAAGCTGAGGACTAAAGAAGGACAAAAGAACTCAAGAACACCTGGTAGACAAAGAAGGCTGAGGAAATCCAACACCAACCTTATTTTCCATTTTCATTGCTATGATACTTCATCTTGTTGATGGAGTGGAAATCATCTATCGGACAAATGGCAAGCTACTTAACCTCAGCAGACTGAAAGCCAAAACCAAGGTTACAAGGTTACAACATCTATTACAGAACTCCAATATGCTGATGACAACATCATCTGTGAGCATTCAGAAGAAGACCTACAAGCCACTCTAAACACCTTGTATATCCCCTATTGCCTCATCTGCCCAATATTGCTCAGGTTGAGTATTGATTTCCTTTTGGGAGAAGATTGAGGCAAAGAATGTGTTGAGTAATTCTGCCTTTTCTCTATTCCTATTCTTCAAAATTATCTAAATAATCCCTGTGCCCCTCTGTTTCGCAGGTTTGCAGTTACCCTTAAAACTACATTAATGTATGATGGCATGCATGAGAAGTAGCACAAACATATGTTAAAAACACTCTGAACATATTCTAGGAATGAAGATGTTTTCTGGATGGGGTGGTGGTTAGCTTTGGTTCTGATTTAAATGCTATGGTTTATAAAAAGTATCACACCCATCTTTGTTTTGGGGTAGAATGGTTCTCTTTTCCTCTGTGTTGTGACGCCTCTGCATTATAATAGTCAGAGTTGTTGTGGATGAAATTGTAGCCTTATCCTGTGTAGCAGAAATTTCTAGATACTAACATGGCTCCTTTTTCCTCTTGCAGACTGCAAATAGCCCAAGGGACAAATAGCAGCATGTGTGTTGGTCAGTCCAAGCACTACCAGCTATGCCAGCAGCAGGTAAGAACCGTCCTCATGAATACTTACCTAGTCTTTGCAAATTTTGGTTCATTATGTGAGTTGCTCTTAGTATGAAAAATAAGAGGGGGGGGGGCACTTATATGCTGGCATTAATATGTGCAGACCTCTAATTGGGATTGCCAGAACCTAATTTACAACCAGGAATACAATTGTCAGAGAGATTGGCATGTTAAATCTATTTCAGTTTTTAAAAAGAAAGGAATGGAAGGGAAATAGCCTCCTGAGAGAAATCTTGTGTCCCCTTTATCATCATATGGGCTGATTTGCCCGTCATACACAGCTTTCTCGCCCTTTTAACCACAGAGCCCATTACACGATACACATCTACTTCTGGGTTTGATTCAATGGAGAAAGGAGCGAGGAAGCAGCCTACACCACCACTGCGGCAACACAGGAGGCTTTGGTGGGTTGTTGTAGTTTTTCAGACTTTATGGCCATGTTCTAGAAGCACTCTCTTCTGACGCTTTGCCTGCATCTATGGCAGGTGTCCATCATGACACTTCAGGATTCTTCTGCCTTATCTGTTCTGGAAATACAGAGAACACAGAGTAACTCTGTCCCTCAGTGTCCTAATGCAGATTGTCCAGTGCATAATTACCTTTAAAAATCTATTCCTATAATGACAGATTGTTCCATTTGATCTTGGCAGCCTAGCATTTTAGCTAGAACACTCAAGAATGTTTATGATCTTCTGGGGAGGTCCTCCTTTCGCTCCCACCATTGTCACAAGCACGGTTGGTGGGGACGAGAGAGAGGGCCTTCTCGGTGGTGGCCCCCTGCCTCTGGAACATTTAAACAAGCCTTTGATGATGGCTAGTTCTAGCTTAGACCCAGATACTGTTGAATATGGCTATATCTTTTTCTACCAATTACCCAGGTTAGAGTAGAGTCTATGAATAGCCATAGACTCTACCCAATTTCCTGGGCCCTCTACAAAATGCACTAGTCTCGGCCCGGCCTTTTAAACAGCCTTGAATAGGCGGGATTATTTTAAATATATATGTGCTATTGTGATTTTATATGCTTATATTATCTTGTTAATTTTATGTTTATGCTGTTTTCTTGTATGTATTGATTGTTACTTGGAAACCGCTCTGAGTCCCCTTGGGGAGATAGAGCGGTATATAAATAAAGTTTTGTTGTTGTTGTTGTATAGTTGAACTCCGAAAACATCCTGTGAACAATGTTGTGCTCCATGGTTTGCTTTGTATTGAATGGAAAGAAGAACAAGTAATAAGCCATGGTTTTTTTTTCTTTCTAGCCTTGCCCTGCCAATACCATCAGCTTCAAGCAGCATCAGTGTGCCAGCTTCAATGCCAAGGCCTTTGGGAAACACTATTATCACTGGATGCCTCTTTATCCAGGTTTGCCTTTGTTAAAATGATTGTGACCCTTTGATGGGAGAAAAGGAGTGCTGGTTCATAGAAACAATAAAGCTGTTAGACTAAAGGGAATAATAATAATAACAACAACAACAACAACAACAACAACAACAACAATAATAATAATAAAAAACCTTTATTTGTACCCTGCTACCATCTCCTGCAGGACTCGGTGCAGCTTACAAGAGGCCGAGCCCAAAGTACATCATTAACAAAAACACAACAGACAACAATACGATGCAACAATAAATAAGCAAGCAATAAAACAGTAACAAAACCACGACACTGTTAAAAACCTGTGGCAGGGCCAAATGTAATAGTTAAAATTCTAAAAATGCTGGGCATGTCCAGGTGAGGCAGACTGAATATTTTGGGAATAGAAGGATGTGCAGACAATTCTAACTTTCTCATAAAGTGCATTAGGGACAGTTGCTTGGGATTCCTTAATCTGGGAAGGCACACTGGAACATCCATGTTTTCAAGCTCCTTCTGAAGACTGCCAGTGTTGGGGAGTGCTTGATGTCCTTGGGGAGGGAGTTCTAGAGTCATGGGGCCATCACCAAGAAGGCCCTGTCCCTCGTCCCCACAACTCGCGCTTGCGATGCTGGTGGGATCGTGAGCAGGGCCTCACCAGATGAACGAAGGGATCATGTGGGTTCGTATACGGAAATACGGTCACGCAGGTAGGTGGGTCCCAAACCGTTTAGGGCTTTGTAGGTAAACACCTGCACCTTGAATTGAGCCCGGAAAATGAATGGCAGCCAATGGAGCTCCTTGAACAGGAGGGTTCACCTCTCTCTGTAATGAGCATCAGTTAACAGCCTGGCCGACGTCCGTTGAACCAACTGAAATTTCCGGGCCATCTTCAAGGGCAGCCCCACATAGAGTGCGTTACAGTAGTCCAATCTGGAGGTGACTAAGGCATGGACCACCCTGGCCAGATCCGCCTTCATGAGGTACGGTCACAGTTGGCGCAGGAGTCTCAGTTGTGCAAAGGCCCTCCCGGCCACTGCCGACGCCTGAGCTTCAAGCGTAAGTGATGAGTCCAGAAGGACACCCAAACTGCGGACCTGTGACTTCAGGGAGAGTGCAACCCCGTCCAGCACAGGTTGCCACCCTATACATTGATCTGGTTTACGATCAACCAGGAGGACCTCTGTCTTGTCAGGATTAATCTTCAGCTTTTTCCTCCTCATCCAGCCAGCCACAGTGGCCAGGCACTTGTCCAGCACCTGAGGGGCTTCCTTGGAATTCAGTGGAAAAGAGTAGTAGAGCTGCGTGTCATCTGCGTAGAGGTGGCACCCAACTCTAAAACTCCGGATGACCTCTCCCAGCGGTTTCATGTAGATGTTAAAAAGCATTGGAGACAGAATGGAACCTTGCGGGACCCCACAGGTCAAAGGCCAGGGGTCCGAGCAGGCGTCTCCAAGCTTCACCATCTGGGAATGGCCCTCCAGGAAGGACTGGAGCCACGACAGAACCGTGCCTCCAAGACCCATCCCGGAGAGTTGTCCCTGAAGGATACCATGATCGATGGTATCAAAAGCCGCTGAGATATCCAAGAGAACCAGCAGGGTCACACTCCCCCTGTCCAGCCCCCTGCGGAGGTCATCCACCAAGGCAAACAAAGCCGTCTCGGTGCCGTGGCCAGGCCTGAAGCCAGACTGTGACTGGTCTAGGTAATTGATGTCATCTAGAAAGCCCCGGAGCTGAGAGGCGACCACCCGCTCCAGCACCTTGCCCAAACAAGGAAGGTTGGCTACACAACAACTTGAAGAACACTTAGGATGCCCAGGAGTGAAGAAGGGACAGTAATTGTTAGGCTGCATGTAGGACCTGTATCTTTCCTTTTTTTTTTTTTTTTGGAATTAACAAAATGTCCCTGATGAGAGCTGCTTGCTTGGAATTTAAAATAATGGAATGATCCGGTAGAGTCACCTTCAGTCTCTTGATTTTCTTTTCCCTGCGACACCTCCTTTGGCTCTCATTTGTTCCCATTTTATTGTGTTTGTTGTAGATGATTACACCAGCATCTCCAACAAGCCATGCGACCTCCAGTGCACCACTAGAAGTGGAGAGAGACAGCTGATGGCACGAGCACAGGATGGCACGTCATGTAAGGACAGGACCTACCAAGGGGTCTGCATCAGTGGAAAGTGTGAGGTATTCATTACTTTGGGAGCTGGACTCATATATGATCAGAAGGGGTTTCCTTATTTGTGCCCACTGGAGCTTAGAATTGGACCCTATGGGCCCTTTTTAAATACAGTATACTAAAAGAGTATACTGTATTTAAAAACAGTTTTATAATACAGTAAAACAGTGTTACATTAAGTTACATTTGTCTTTAGTTGTTTAATTTGCTTTTAATTACTGTATTTCAATATTGATATCAAATCTGTACAAGGTTTATGGTATAGTAAGGGTGTTGTTGCATCCTAGAACAGGAACAGGACCCTCTAATCCAGTGTTTCTCAATCTTCCTAATGTTGTGACCCCTTGATGCAGTTCCTCATGTTGTAGTGACCCCCAAACATTATTTTTGTTGCTACTTCATAACTGTAATTTTGCTACTGTTATGAATCATAATATAAATATTTGATATTCAGGATGTATTTTCATTCACTGGACCAAATTTGGCACAAATACCCAATATGTCCAAATTTGAATACTGGTGGAGTTTGGAGGGGGGGGGGGGGGGGGGGGGGGGGGGGGGGGTGGTGGTGTTGATTTTGTCATTTGGGAGTTGTAGTTGCTGGGATTTATAGTTCACTTACAATCAAAGAGCATTCTGAACTCCACCATAGATGGGATTTAACCAAACTTGGTACACAGAACTGCGGTGACCAACAGAAAATACAGGAAGGGTTTGGTGGGCATTGACCTTGAGTTTTGGAGTTGTAGTTCACCTACATCCAGAGAGCACTTTGGACTCAATCAATGATGCATCTGGACCAAACTCTACACGAATACTCTCCCCTCAGAAACAGCCCTCCCCTTGGCTGAGAGGCTGGCCAATCACAGCAGGAGAAAGGGTTTGGGTGGGATGCGGAGGAGATGGAAGTACTTGCTACCGAGTTTCTGGCAGTTTTCAGTATATCACTTTCTCTCTGTTGCTCCATTTCATTCATACTTCCTTTTGAGTTTTTCCAATTCATTGTTTGCACTTCCTCAAGTCAGTCACCTTGGGTCCCATCCCAGGGAAAAGGCGGGATATACATTCATAAATAAATACCCATCTTTGTAAGGAGCTAGTGCAACCCAAAGATAAGGAGCAAATAAAGACTCTGATCTGAGCACAGACTGAAAGAAACTGCGCATACTATTACACAAGCCAACAAAATCAATTTTTTTTTGTAATCATCAGAAATGAGAGTAACACGTTTAAATCGATTTTAATGCTGATTTTAAGTATGTCTCTATTTTTTTCCATCACATCAACGTTTTAAAAATCTGACAAATGGTTAATTACAGTGGACTGTTTGCACATTTCACATCATATTTGTGTAACACAAGCTAACAAGTATTTTTATCAGATATAATTTTAAGTCATTTTAACAGGGTTTTTTGTGCTGAATTGAGATCTGTGTTTATTTTTTCTCTATCACATGTAGTTTTTGCGATGAAGCTAATTGAATAACTAATGCATTTACACATTGATATCAATTAAATTAATTGATATCAGTGAGTAAATGCATTAATTATTCATTTAGCCTCATTGCAAAAACTACACGTGATAGAGAAAAAATAAACACAGATCTGAAACTCTATAAGAATGACTTAAAATTATATCTGCTGAAAAATACTTGTTGGCTTGTGTTATCAGTGTATAGTAGTGTCATCAAGTTAATGGAACAATGACAGCCAAACAGCTTCTAGTCTAAATTTAGAAGAGAGAAGGTGATGATGAGAATAGAAAGAAGGACTGCTGAGGACAAACGCAAGTTGTTGCACACACGCATGGTTGAATTTGGTTTAGCTAGAAAAGATTAAAGATAGTTACACAGAATTTTTGAATCTTGGATTTTTAATTGGGCTGTGATGAGACTGTATTGATTAGGGTCAACATAATGTTTCAGACTGTAAGCTGCCCTCCCTTTTTCCTCTCTCAGCCAATAGGGTGTGATGGCAGCCTCTATTCTTCCCAGGTGATGGACCGGTGCCGTGTATGCGGAGGAGATGGAAGCACTTGCTACCGAGTTTCTGGCAGTTTTCGAAAGGGGATCTCACAGTTAGGTACACTTTGCTAACAGCGTCCTGCTATTTTATTGCTGTATTGTTGTGACTCACAGACTTTTAAATTTGATTGGATTCCTCATGGACAAGTTAAACATGAATCAACAATGTGATGCAGCAGCAAAAAAAGCCAAAGGGATTTTGGCCTGCATCAATAGGAAGCATAGTGTCTAGATCCAGGGAAGTCCTGCTCCCCCTCTATTCTGCCTTGGTTAGACCACACCTGGAATATTGTGTCCAATTCTGGGCACCACAATTGAAGAGAGATATTAACAAGTTGGAATGTGTCCCCAGAGGAAGGCAACTAAAATGATCAAGGGTCTGGAGAACAAGCCCTATGAGGAGCGGCTTAAAGAGCTGGGCATGTTTAGCCTGAAGAAGAGAAGGCTGAGAGGAGACATGATAGCCATGTATAAATATGTGAGAGGAAGTCATAGGGAGGAGGGAGCAAACTTGTTTTCTGCTTCCCTGGAGACTAGGACGCGGAACAATGGCTTCAAAATACAAGAGATTCCATCTGAACATTAGGAAGAACTTCCTGACTGTGAGAGCTGTTCAGCAGTGGAACTCTCTGCCCCAGAGTGTGGTAGAGGCTCCTTCTTTGGAAGCTTTTAAACAGAGGCTGGATGGCCATCTGTCGGGGTACTTTGAATGCAATTTTCCTGCTTCTTGGCAGGGGGTTGGACTGGATGGCCCATGAGGTCTCATCCAACTCTATGATTCTACATAAGTTTTTCCTCTCTGAGTTGGTCAGGATAAATGAATAATCTGAGTTTGGACATATTACTTTATTGGGACTACAGCTGGCTGTGATAGTTGTAGTCCAAAAAAAAAAAATAGCTCACTCAAATTAAGGGCAGATAAAGATGGGGAAATGTGGATGCTGCAGAGGAGATTACAGGCTTCTATGCTTGGAATCACAAAGATCAGCTGCCCTCTCACAGTCCGTCCTTTTCCTACAAAATGGCTATGTCATATGTGTAGTCTAAGCAGATGGGCAGAAATTGATTTTTGCAGGCATCACCACAGCACTAGATGGGGATAGAGCACCATGGCTCAATTCCCTGTTCATTAGAGAAGGAAATATTTTTATCGAGATATATCCACTTTTTTACAGGAACCTTGATATAAGCAAGGTTGGGAATGGGGAGTCAGGAAAAAGGATTATGTAGGGAGGGGACCTGAATCCAGAGAATGTATGCGGATTTATGTATCTCTACAACTGCACATTTGTACTTCAGAAAACATGACTACCACTGCTTTCAAAAGATGGCCAGCACTAATTCATTAGATTTGATACTATTTAAGCCTTCCAGTGGAGGAAAAGTGGTTTGCTCTCTCTCTCGCTCTGCAAAGAGACTGTGCATTGGAATTTCAGTATGAATGTCTGGGTTTTTAACTTTTAGATAGAGAGAGTGTACTTTGATGGTTCATCTTTATAACCGGGCATTAATATGGCTTGCAGAAGGATTCTTAAAATCAATGCATATCCATGTCTACAGAAGGATCCTTTAAAAGGAGATATTGCAGATCTGGCAGAATAGCAGCAGGGTGCACCTTCAACAACAACAACAACAACAACAACAACATAATAATAATAATAATAATAATAATTACGAGGGGTATTTTTTAAGTAAGGTCCGTATTGTTGTAGACACTAGTAGTTCGCATGCATACCGCAATGAGTGCGTGCGTCGTGTACCGGCATGCCTCGGGAACAACTGTGCTCAGTTTCCGCTCTGTAGCTAACCTGTACGGTTCTGTTCTGTGCTTTAAAAATGTTTAAGACTATCAACTCACCCGCATGTGAGGTTCGCTCAGTGATACGGTTTTTGTCAGCAAGGAACCTGCCTGCTGCAGAAATTCATCGACAGATTTGTGAAGTGTACGGTGATACTGTTATGAGTGAAAGCAAAGTGCGTAAGTGGGTACGACAATTCAAAGATGGCCGTGACAACGTCCATGATGAGGACCGCTCTGGTCGCCCTTCTTTGATTACAGACGATTTGGTGGCTTCAGTTGAAGCGAGGATTCATGAAGAGGGTATTTTAAAATTGGTTCAGAGGTATGATAAGTGTTTGAACAAACTTGGCAACTATGTCGAAAAATAGAGTGAAGTATGTACTTTCTGAAAATAAATTTACTTTTTTGAAATAAACTTTCGTTGTGTACTTACGTTCAAACGGACCTTACTTAAAAAATACCCCTCGTATTATTATTATTATAAATATCTGGGCATACTACAGCTGGACAACATCAAACATGAACATGTGAAAACTGTGGTCAGCAGCGAATACATTCAAAGGGTCAGAAAAATTCTCAAAAGCAAGCTCAATGGAGGCAATCCCATCAAGGCCATAAACACCAGGGCCATACCTGTCATAAGATACACTGCTGGCATCATAAACTGGACACCGGCAGAACTGGACAATTTGGACAGAAAAACAAGAAAACTCATGACCATTCATAATTCACTGCATCCTCGCAGTGATGTTGACCGGCTCTATCTGCCTAGAAGATCTGGTGGTAGAGGACTTTTACAAGTAAATCAAGCAATCGAAGAAGAAAACATGCTCTGGCAGAATATGTAAAGGAAAGCCAAGAACCTGTTTTAATTGTAGTCAATAATCGGAAACTTCTCGAAGCACAGCAGACAAAGAACCAGTACAAGAAAACTGCACTACAAACCAGAGTTGACAGCTGGTACAAAAAAGCATTGCATGGGCAGTTCCTTAACAAAATTGAAGGAAAGGTTGACAGGGAGAAGACCTGGTTATGGCTCATGAATGGAACCCTGAAGAAGGAGACAGAAGGCCTGATTCTTGCAGCCCAGAAGCAAGCCATCGGAACAAATGCAATTAAGGCCAGGATCGAAAAATCAACTGATGACCCAAAATGCAGACTGTACAAGGAAGCTGATAAAACTATGGATCATCTCCTCAGCTGCTGCAAGAAAATCGCACAGACGGACTACAAACAAAGGCACAACTCTGTAACCCAAATGATTCACTGGAACTTATGTCACAAGTACAACCTGCCAGCAGTAAAGAATTGGTGGGATCATAAACCCGCAAAGGTAGTGGAAATTGAATATGCAAAAATACTGTGGGACTTTCAAATCCAGATTGACAAGAGTTTTAGAACACAACATGCCAAACATCACGATTGTGGAAAAGAAAAAAAGTTTGGATTATTGATGTCACCATTCCAGGTGACAGTCGCATTGAGGAAAAACAATAGGAAAAACTCAGCCGTTATCAGGACCTCAAAATTGAATTGCAAAGGTTCTGGCATAAACCTGTACAGGTGGTCCCAGTGGTCGTCAGCACAATGGGTGCCATACCAAAAGATCTCAGCCGGCATTTGGAAATAATAAACATTGACAAAATCACAATTGTGTCAACTGCAAAAAGCCACCTTACTTGGATCTGCACGCATCATTCGAAAATACATCACACAGTCCTAGACGCTTGGGAAGTGTTCGACTTGTGGTTTTGTGATACGAAATCCAGCATATAGATCTCGTTTGCTATGACATATTGTGTTTTTGTGTCAGTAAAATTATAACAATAATAATAATAATAATAATAATAATAATCTTTATTTATAGTCCCTGAGGGGACTCTTGAGAGGATTGCAGTATATACACAGACACATGCAAAAATTCAATGCCTTGTTACAAGTACATACAATGAGACAAATAAACAGACAGAGGCAAAGATTTCTCCTTTCATTTCCAGCTTGGAGACCAGAAATGGACCTATTAATCATGGATATAAGACCAATCAGTTATTGGTTGCAGCTCTCTGTGACAAACTTGTGTTTGCATTATGTGTTTCAAATGGTCCAGATATACTGAATAACTCACACAACAGAGAAACTACTGAGTTACTTCTCAGAGTAACGTCCAAGTCAGGTTGTCCCATTTTAATTTTATGGTTTTTTTGTGGCTCTGTTTTCTCAGGCTATGTGTTTATCACCAACATCCCTTCTGGTGCTACAGACATTCTCATTATTGAGCAGAGGAAGACAGAGAACATACTGGGTAAGCAATGGAAATGAGTGTTCCCTCGGGGCAAATCTGTCCCACAGTGCAGAGTGCTTAAGTGACTTAATGACTTTATGTGCCCATGCCTTCCTGTTGAGCTTTCCTGAGGTGGAGTTCGTATTCTTAATCCATTCAGATTAAATTCTACCCCCTTTTATCAAAAGTTTTGAAACATTATAACTTACCTACTTTTGAATGTGGCCTGACTGTCTTTTCAGTTAGAGTGGCATTTTTATCAAACAGATTCAGGGCACGTCTGTGCTTATATGGATCAGTTTCTCCATTCAGAATACATTGATTGCAATCCCGAAATAAGCTATTGAACCTAGATAAGCAATTATGTCTACATAATACTTTTGGAGGAAAAGGAAAAGATATTTGTCTAAGGATATAAATATTTGCCGCAAATCTTTTTTGGTCATATGCTCCTCTTTCTGGAGACATGACAGATTTAAGGAATCAGTCATATTTTGGAGTCTCCTATGGAGAAAAAAGTGGGGTATAAACAAAAAACATAATCTATATAAATAAAAATGTAATTTTCGTTTGTGGGATTAACAGAACTCAAAAACCACTGGATGAATTGATGCCAAATTTGGACACAAGACACTTAACAACCCAATGTATGTCCTTCACTAAAAAAAATTGATTTTGTCCTTTGGGAGTTGTAGTTGCTGGGATTTATAGTTCACCTACAATCAAAGAGCATTCTGAACTCCACCGATGATGGAATTGAACCACACAGTTCTCCCATGACCAACAGAAAATACTGGAAGGGTTTGGTGGGCAGTGTCCTTTGGTTTTGGAATTGTAGTTCACCTACATCCAGAGACCATTCTGGACTTAATCAACGATGGATCTGGACCAAACTCTAAACGAATACTCAATATTCCCAAATGTGAACACTGGTGGAGTTTGGGGAAAATAGAATCTTGACATTTGGGAGTTGTAGTTGCTGGGATTTATAGTTCACCTGCAATCGCAGAGCATTCTGAACCCACCAAAGATAGAAACCTCCCACACAGAACCCCCCTGTGGGCCACAGCAACGCAGGGGACTGCTAGTAAATAATAATACCAGAGTAGCATGCCCATCATCTCCCTACTACCCTGGTGGTCCTTCCTGGGCATCACCTCTTAGTCGCCTTCTTTACTTTTTGGCTGGCAGTTTGCTGGATATGGGAACATTTCCAGGGCCTCACACCGCCCACATCTATATAAATAAAAATGTAATGTTTGTTTGTGGGATTAACGTAACTCGAAAACCACTGGACGAATTGACAACAGATTTGGACAGAATACATCTATCAGGCCAACGAGTGACCATCACTCATAAAAACACTGGAAAACACAGCAGAAGAGACTTAAAAAGTAAAAAAACTCACAAAAAATACAGTACAACTCATGCGCAAAACCACACACACACACATATATATACACTCAAACACACATATATACACACATATGCACAAATATACACCCACAAAACACATCTACACAGACTGGGCCACTGCAACACATGGCAGGGGACAGCTAGTCCATATAAATAAAAATGTAATGTTCGTTTGTGGGATTAACATAACTCAAAAGTCACTGGACGAATTGATACCTAATTTGGTCACAATACTCATATTACGCCATTAAGGGACCACCACTCATAAAAACACTGAAAAACACAGCGGAAAAGACTTAAAAAGCCAAAAAACAAAAATTACATTACAACACATGCTCAAAATTACATATGTATATACACAAACACACATATACACAAATACACACACACACATATATACACACAAAACACATATACAGAGACTGGGCCACAGCAACGCGTGGCAGGAGACGGCTAGTGACTAATAGGTTTCTACATTTGTGTCTTCCTTTGAAATGTATGCCTTCTATATAAATAAAAATGTAATGTTCGTTTGTGGGATTAACATAACTCAAAAACCACTGGATAAATTGATACCAAATTTGGACACAATACACCTATCAGGCCAATGAGTGTCCATCACCCCTAAAACACACACACAAAACCCAGCAGAGCAGACTTAAACCCCCCCAAAATAAACTATATATACATATACACATACACTCATATACATATACACATGCACACATACACACACATATATATATACACAAGCGCACACAAATATACACAAACATATACACATGCACACATACATATGCACACATACACATATACATATAGACATACATACACACATATATACACAAGCGCACACATATACACAATATACATATACACATATAAACACAGAAATACACAAATATATATACACATATGCACACACACATACACCCATCTATATATCTATATTTATCTATATATCTATATGCACTTGTCCTACAATAGTACCTGTCACATCAACACTTTTTAATTCTGTACCCTTTTACTCGGGCTCGGTCCAGTTTTATCTTGTTGATGTACTGTTTATTGCTTGTGGTTTGTTGTTTTAATACTGCTTTAATTGTTTTAATTTTGTTTTAAGTGTATTGTTATGTTGTGTATTGAGGTCTTGGCCTTTGTAAGCCGCACCGAGTCCTTCGGGAGATGCTAGCGGGGTACAAATAAAGTTTAATAATAATAATAATAATAATTATTATTATTATTATTATTATTATTATTATTATTGTTATTATGTCAATTGTTGGCACCTTATGCCCCTTCTATTATTTAGGGGTTTTAATTCTTCAACCCTAGCTAGCACCCCCCTCACTGCAGTGGGATAAGGGGAATTGCTGTCTGACAACACCTTGATGGCCCCACATTCTCTGTTTCTGCAACTTGCATTTTGATTACCTGGGAGCTGGTGGATCACCCTGAAGGACAGAGTCATCTTCTGCTTTAGCAGCTGAATATCCCTAGAATAATACTTGTTGGAAAGGTAGTTTTGTCACTGTTCTGCCTCCTTTGTAGCACTGGCTGATGACTCTGGGCACTTCTTCTTCAATGGGAATTCTGCTCTTGACAATCCTCAGAACTTCAAAGTGGCTGGCACCGTCTTCAAATACCGCCGGCCTTCCAACCTCTATTCTGATGGCCTGGAATACATTATTGCACAGGGTCCTACCAACCAGTCTCTCAATGCCATGGTAAGTATGGGCAAAAGGTATGATCTGAATAAATTCTTTCTGCCCCCATGAGTCCTAAGACTGAAAACTGAGTGCCTGATGCATAATTTGCTTTGGAAAAAAGTTCATAGGTCAAACTGGTTTTCAAGTGGACTGAATTACCTTATTTATTTATTTATTTACAGTATTTATATTCCGCCCTTCTCACCCCTCAGAGGACTCAGGGTGGATTACCATGTACATATACATGGCAAACATTCATTCAATTTATTGTCGATGGCTTTCATGGCTGGAATCACTAAGTTCTTGTAGGTTTTTTCGGGCTATATTTTTTCGGGCTAGAACATGGGTTCTAGAGGCATTTCTCCTCACGTTTCATTCAATTCATATACAGACAGACACACAGAGGTTACTTAACATTCCAGCTTTTTCATGAGGGTACTCTGACCACCAGGGGAGCTGTCGCTTCACCATCCATTTGTGACACTGATGAAGTACTTCCTCATTCTTTGCATGCTTGCTGGAGATTTTTATGGCGTCGTAAATTAGCCTCCCCACATAAGCGGCACCTACATTTCCTACTTGACAGATGCAACTGTCTTTCTGGCTGCAAAGGTTGACAGCAAGCTACACAAATTGGTCAGAAACTCACTCCAACCCGGGTTGGCTTCGAACTCATGACTTTTTGGTCAGTACTGATCTTAATGCAGCTGACTCCCAGCCAGCTGCACCACAGTCCCGAACCTTGAATCCTGAGCTCACTGGAAGTCACTCTGAAGGCTCTGTTGTGACTCAGCTGGAACCACAGAGTGTCTCTGATGAGGATGATGGGACTCAGATTCACAGTCCGGTTCAAAATGTCCCTGTTATAGAGAGTGAAGAAGTGCAGTTTCCTACAGCAAGGAATGAGAGTGTTGATACTGAAAATAGCCTGGTGCAGGTGCAGTTTGACTCGGGGAAGGAGGACAGTTCTCAGCCTGATAATGAGCAAGCAGGGAAACAGGCTGACACTAACGGACTGACCTTGATGAAATGGGAACCTTAGATTGGGCTGACCGTTTGGAATTCAGACCAAAAGGTGCAGGGTGGCTGTGGAGACTGACCCCTGGTGTCGTGAAACGCAACCCCAGAAGTCAGTCCCCACAGGCCCAATACCTTGTTAAACCTGGGCCTTTCAGGAAGACCCAGGTCTAATGGGGTATTTAATTAATTCGGAATAAATCAAGGAAAGCTTGGTGTATTCTGAATTAATTTTTCTTTTACCGGAGGCATCGTTTGGACGCCTCCATTAAAAACCAAGACAGGTCCCATATTTTGAGTCTGTCTGGATGGGCCCTGAATGGCAACACAATGGCCTTTGTCATCATGATGGTAGAAGGAGAAACTCAATAATTTAAAGCGTGTTCTTTGTTTCATATGCTTCTCCCTGTTCTCTTTGTTGAACTCAGTACTATAATTTTAATGGGAAAGTGCCCCACGTGACCTATGACTACACTGTGCCAAGAACACTGTCACCAGCTCTTCAGACGGTTTCCCCTGTCATCAAGATGCCTATCCATCTTCACCTTTCCGGTTCCAGCCACAATCGCCAGGAAGCCATCCCTCCCATTTCTGAAGATTTTAATGACACTTGGATCTCTCTGGCTCCGGATGACATTGGGGAAGGTTTCACTCAAGGGGAGGACCATGGAGGCATGGTCTACAAGAACCAGAACTTTCCCCCCAGTAATACCAGTGTTCAAGGAAAGGAATGGGACTGGAAGCACAGGACAGAGGAGGAAAGATTTGGCTTCCAAGTTCGACAGGTTTATCATACAAATGGAGCAGGTGATGATGAAGAGCTGGCAACCAGCAAAGATACAAACCTGGGTTAGTATGTTTTTCTTTTCACTTTATTTTCTCAAGCATGTGGAGTGCAGTGTGCCCATGAGGGTTCAGTTCTGGGACTTGCCATGGAGATGAAAACACTTAGACAACGACAGGTTGTATTATTAAATGGCAGTGACATGAAGGGATATGTCTCAGAGTAAGCGTGGTTACGTCACCATCATCTGCAAATATGGTGAGCAGTGATTGATGGTCACTGGAAATCACAGATCTGGAGGACCTATTGTACTATATCAGGGGTCCTCAAACTAAGGCCCAGGGGCCAGATACGGCCCTCCAAGGTCATTTACCCAGCCCTCGCTCAAGGTTAACCTAAGTCTGAAACTACTTGAAAGCATACAATAACAACAACGCTTTCTCATCAGCCAAAAACAGGCCCACGCTTCCCATTGAAATACTAATAAGTTTATATTTGTTATAATTGTACTTCATTTTAATTATTGTATTGTTTTTAAGTGGGTTTTTGCACTACAAATAAGGTATGTGCAGTGTGCATAGGAATTCATTCATGTTTTTTTTAATTATAATCCGGCCCTCCTTGAGTTTGAAGGACTGTGACTTGGCCCTCTGTTTAAAAAGTTTGAGGACCCCTGTTCTATATCATTTCTGCTTCTTCTTGAGGTGTGTGCATATGTGTCAAAACGAGCAGATTTCCTTTTGAGAAAATGGTCAACTTTAGTGATTTTTTTCACATCTGGGGGCTTTTTGTAGAGAAAAATTGAACAGAAAAAAACTTTCTTGCACAGAAACGTAAACATGTTTGTGAAGATAACAGTATTTGGGCTAAATACTGTACAGGAAATATATTTTCAGAAAAAACAAGATTTTGGTACAAAGAGGTTTTCTTTTTTTTGCAAAAAGAAGCCCCAAAAAGCAAAAATAACCCAGAAGAGAAAACTGTAGATTTTTTTGGTCCTTGCATATGAGAATGAAGTAATAATAATAACTTTATTTTTGTATCTCGCCTCCATCTGCCTGAAAGGACTTGGGGCGGCTTACTTGGGGCTAAGCCCATTCAACACAATTAAAACATACGAGGGTTGAATGAAAAGTAATGCCTCCACCTTCGTTACTTGGGTTTGGATGGGAATATTTTAATAAATCAAACACATAAATAATCCTTAGAATGTGCTCTTTAACTACCACTATTCACTTTTCCACATAATCACCAAACAATTGGATACATTTCTGCCAACAATGAACACGTTTTCTGAAGCCGTCACAGAAGAAGTCGACACTCTGTTTCCGCAAACAGCGTCTCACAGTTCTCTCATCCTGGGTACCCATTGTACACAGACTTTCCAATAGCCAAGCAAAACAATAATATGATCCACACATTCTTGTGAAATGCTGATTATACTTGAAATTTCTCTCTGAGTGATATGACGATCGTCCTGAATCAATCTGTCAACCTTTTGCTTGTGAAATTCGGTGGTTGCTGAATCTCCTTTGGGGTGACACCTTCTGCTGTCAAGAATTCAATGACTGCATGTTGCTTAAGTCACATTGACCACCTGTCTGTACAGGATTCCATATTTTGCACTTTAACAACACAACTGTTCAATGCTAAGGCTTACTGCCAAAATGGAACTGTAGAGGAAAGTCTACTGAACAAGCCAGGACCTGCTGCATACCAGTACTGCCATCTGTTGAGGAGTTACGAAGGTGGAGGCATTACTTTTCATTCAACCCTCGTAGCACAGTAAAATTCATGACAACCGTAAATAAGAAATAAAAACAACAACATTGTGGTAATCCAAATCTCTTCAAGTTATAATTGCTGCATATAGAAAATTCACAATCCTTCTTCAGATTATATTAGTCTTTCAGTTCTTTGTTTTGCTTAATCTATTTTTGCTGGAAGTGATGAGGAAGGTGAAAAATGATGGACTTTGGGATGCAGATTAGTGGCAGGAGGACAAGAAGCAGCAGAAGGTTATGAGCAAAGTCACAGAAGCCACGAGGGAAACCATAATGGCTGTTACTAGCTGAGCTTCGTTTGTAACATTCAATATGATATTTTTTTTAAAAAACAACAACAAGATTTCATTGCAAATTCCAACTCATTGCATAAAATGTAGACATTGATATGCAATGCATACAGACCTAACCTCTTCACTCTGAATTATTCATATCACATTTTCATAATACATTTCAATTAAAATCTAGTTATCAGGAATGTTCTGATTTAGAAACTAAGGATTTGCATTTAAGTTATACATTCTAGATTTCATTTTTGGTACAAAACAAAGCAAATTTCTTTTTCTGGTGTCTTGGACAGTTTATTTTTTATGAACAAGACTTGTACACTTTTAAATGTATCTCTGCACACATATGGCCTAGAAACCAGTTCAATATTTTAAGCATTTAAGAAATGTTGTTTAAGCATTTAAGTGTTATTGTTTATTGTTATTGTTTATATGTGATTTATATTAATTATATTGTTTTTTGTTTATTGCTTTTCTGCTTTATTGATGTATTGTCGGGCTTGGCCTCATGTAAGCTGCTCCGAGACCCTTGGGGAGATGGTAGCAGGGTATAAATAATGTTATTATTATTATTATTATTATTATTATTATTATTATTATTATTATTATTATAAATTAAATCTCTCAGTTTTACATCCTGTGATAGACACTGAATTAACTCTCAAATCACCCAGATGCTAAATTATAAATTAACTCGTCTTTGTACAGGATGTAGTCAAATGAACATAATTCCAATTTGGGGCAATTGGAGAGTTGATAGACTGTTTTCTTGCAGAAAGCTGAAAATGTAATGTTTTTCTTCAAGATCTCAGGCTTAACCATATTACAGTCAGCACGGCTGTACCCCATGGTACATCAAGGCCAGAATTCCAAGAGACTAGCAGGATTGGGTTATCCAGGCTGCGTCTGTTCCGGAAATTGTGTCTCCAAGATCTTCAAAATGCTGCCTTTTGTAGAGAGTTGCATTACCAAGCAATCAAGCTTGGAAGGAAGAATACAACAGCGGTGTTTTGGGGAGACCCATTGGTAGAGTGGCCAGAAGGACTGCGCAAGCAACCTACAAGAAAGAACTTTCTTGAACATGTAAATGCTGAAGTTTTCGCTGTGGATGAAGCAACTAACGATACAGTTATGGCATCATCTTCCAAGCCAAGATCCAGCTCCACCTTTCATCTGGGCTTTGTGAATAAACACCTGTCAGAAGCTCTTCAGAGTCCTGGCTCTGAAAGGTGAGATAGGAATGTAATTCTGAAATAAAACATGTCATTTTAGTAGAAGTAGTATATTTTAGTAATATAAAATGAGAATTTCCAAGGGACTCTCAGCCAAGGTGTGCAACTGGCTTCCACTTAGTTTCACCACTTGAATGCGAGACATACATTGCAGCAAGCTGAATTTAGCCTTCTTTCAGTCTAACCCAAAGGGGAGGCAAAGTAAAAGGCTTACTCTGCAATAAAACGCATTAGCAAGCCTTGGGTGTTCTGTTTGGACGTCCCAGGCTACTGCTTTTCCTACACTGCACTTTGCAGTCTAGATGAGGCCTAAGTTTCTGATTGGTTGGCCCCCTTAATGACATCATAGCTGGCTGCCAATCCAATTATTATTGCTGCTACTTCATAACCGTAATTTTGCTACTGTTATGAAATGTAATGTAAATATCTGATTTGCAGGATCTATTTTCATTCACTGGACCAAATTTGGCACAAATGCCCGATATACCCAAATTTGAATACTGGTGGGGTTGGAGGGATTGATTTTGTCATTTGGGAGTTGTAGTTGCTGGGATTTATAGTTAGCCTACAATCAAAGGGCATTCTGAACCTCACCAACAATAGAATTGGGCCAAACTTCCCACATAGAACCCACATGATGAACAGAAAATTGTGTTTTCTGATGGTCCTTGGCGACCCCTCTGACACCCCCACATGACCCCCCCTCGGGGTTGCGACCCCCAGATTGAGAAACACTGCTCTAGGGAGTCTTTCTAGCCCTCTCAGTAGCCAAGAAAGAGTAGCAATCGCTTTACTTTTTGTTGTAGATAACCTGTTCAAGATTTCTTGTAAGCTATTTTCCCCTCTCTACAGCAATGACTTTGAACTGAACCCCCTTGGCCATGACGACATCAGCCTGGCGGACATGTATCGCTGGAAAGTGTCTGCCTATGCTCCTTGCAGCTCTACATGTACATCAGGTAGTTTTTGGGGAACAAGGGAGTGCTGGGATGGTTTTGGAGAGCAAGTATTATAAGAGACATAGGTCTTTGCTTTGTTGACACCTATTAATCCTGTGAGTTGTAGTTTGTTGAGGCATCATCACTCTTTGGCAGAAAAGGATGAAGACCTTCTAAACCTATAATACCCATGATTCTGTAATCTTAGCCACAGCAGTCAAGGTGTGTTGAAAGTGCATCAATTCTACTGTGTAGATCAGGGGTCCTCAAACTAAGGGCCAGATACGGCCCTCCACGGTCATTTACCCGGCCCTCACTCAGGGTCAACCTAAATCTGAAATGATTTGAAAGCACACAACAACAACAACAACAACAATCCTATATCATCAGCCAAAACAGGTCCACACTTCCCACTGAAATACTAAAAAGTTTATATTTGTTAAAGTTGCTCTTCATTTTAATTATTGTCTTGTTTTAAAGTGTTTTTTGCACTACAAATAATATATGTGCAGTGTGCATAGGAATTCATTCATGCTTTTTTCAAATTATAATCCGGTCCTCCAACAGTTTGAGGAACTGTGACCTGGCCCTCTGCTTAAAAAGTTTGAGGACCCCTGGTGTAGATTAACCTGCAGAGAGGTGCTTGGGGTTCAACCTCTCATCTTTCATTCATGCAAAGCATACAAATTACATATTGTTGAAAGCTTTCCTGTCCAGAATCACTGAGTTGCTGTGAGTTTTTCAGGCTGTATGGCCATGTTCCAGTGCTACTGGAACATGGCCATACAGCCAAAAATATTTCACAGCAACCCATACAAACTATGCTTCCCCCCATTCTAGACTACTTATATGTCATTGTGATAGGATCTTGTGTATGTAAGTGGATGTGTAAACATGTTTCTCCAGTCACTCAGGATGACTGAGTTGCTGTGCCCATAACCTTACGCAAATCAAATTATAATAATTTTATGAATTATTGATGTTAATAATGCATTTCTCCAAGATTCATTCTTGATGCATACCCCAGCTATAAATATGTGTGTAGCCTGGCTCTCCAGATACACTTCAGGATTTCCAAGGAAGCAGTGAAAAAGAATAATAGAATCATAGAATCAAAGAGTTGGAAGAGACCTCATGGGCCATCCAGTCCAACCCCCTGCCAAGAAGCAGGAATATTGCATTCAAATCACCCCTGACAGATGGCCACAGATGTAAGTGACTTCTGCTTCCAGACTTCTGGTCTTTCCAGAAGCATGGAAGCAGAAGTCACTTACACTTTTAGAATGATGTCTCGCCTTTCCAGTAGTGTGGGAATAAAATTATCATTCTCTTGTGGAAAAAATGCTTACCGTATATTCTGGCGTATAAGACTACTTTTTAACCCAAGAAAATCTTCTCAAAAGTCAGGGGTCGTCTTATGCGGCGGGAGTCGTCTTATACACGGGAGTAGTCTTATACACAAGAGTTGTCTTATACACTGGAGTAGCCTTATACATGGGCGTCTTATATGCAGGAGTAGTCTTATATGCCGGGAGTCGTCTTATAGAGCGGGTGCTGAAACTTCCAATCCGGATTGGAGAATCTGTGGTTGCTGCATATTGTGGGGGGAGTTCAAAAATGGCAGTGGCCATGTCCCTGCCGTATGCAGCAACTGTATGAAAGCACTAAGGGCGACACTGTACAAGTACGGTAGAAGAAAATCAGTTCATCAGGATTCGTGGACTTACTGCGGTTCCGATGGTGAGGTGAAGGAGCGCCTCACTGGGAAGGTGTAAGTGAAGGGCAGAGCAAGCTGCAGGCATCCGGGGCACCCAGGGTATGGAAAAAAGAGATAGAGTGGCTCCCAGAAAAACACAACTCTTTTACCTGTCTGGCTCGCCCTTGTATCCTATTACCGTACCTCCTCCTCTGCCTCTCAGATCTCACTCCTGAAGACTGCAGTGAAGTGGTGCAGGTGCGCATGTGCGAAATCTGAGAGGCAGAGAAGGAGGTACAGTAATAGAAAAATTATTATATTGAAATCAAATCTGATGTTTAAAATTTTTTATTTGGTGTGTGTTGGAAGAGGGGTAGTCTTATACGGCGAGTATATCCCAAACTGTATTTTAACTGGAAAAGTTGGGGGTCGTTTTATATGCCCAGTCGTCATTTATGCCGGAATATATGAGGTACTTACTTCCTCCAAGTGAGACCCAGCAGCATGAAGAGAGGAAATGGGTATTTGGGTGGGCCTGATTCCATGGCTTTTGGGTTGCCTTGTTCATTGGGGCTGCGAATGATCATGTAACAAATCTTGACTGAAAAGAACCATGTTTCCTGCCCACCCAGGGATCAGCACTTCCTATGCCATGTGTGTCCGCTACGATGGAGTGGAAGTGGAGGAGACATATTGTGATGCACTGACTCGTCCTGAACCCACTCATGAGTTCTGCGCTGGCAGAGATTGCCAACCCAGGTGAGTAGAACAAACCAGCTCCAGGAATATGTGTATGTGTGTGAAAGAGAATGAGAGTCAAGAGAGAAAGATGAATAATGCTGTATTCATATGAGTCTTCTCATTCTACTTTCTCAGATAAATTTTGATGACGATGTTTATTTAAATATTTATTATACTGTGTAATGTTTGTACCCACATTCAAACTGCAGTAAATTTAAAATGGAAAGAAAAAAGGGTTTCAGTTATGGTGGAGATACATCATAAATATTTCCTTGATGTATAAATTAGAGAAACAGAGCACTCTGATTTTTTTACTGCTTCCCCGGCTTCCGTTTGTAATGGCTGTAAGTCATATGTAATAGAATATTTGACTTGACTTATGATGCTACTGTGCACTTTTGTCATTCAGTTTCCATCCTGAATCTTTAGTCGGTTTGTTTCCCCATTTATTGAACCTTTTAAATGCATTTCTCCTCTTGTTGTTGTTGTTGTTGTTGTTTATATTCAACTTTTTCTCTCTTAACAAGTGAGGCAACATAGCATATTTTTTGTTTTACTCTATATTCCTATTCAAAGTTTAATTTTACTCTTCTATCATAGATTTGAAAGGGACCCCTAAAGAAGGACAATTATATGTTGCATGTTCCAGAGTAGGCAAACTAGACAATTTCCACATCAACACTGACAAAGAAACAGCAAGAAATACTGTTTACCCCAAAGCAGAAAGAAATTACATAGATTAGAAACCAACACTTTCTCATTACTTTATTTTCCAGATCACCAGACTGAGCCACAGCAATGTGTGGCAGGGGACGGCTAGTAATATAATAATTTTGCATTTGGTTATGGGGACATACGGTAGCCATATTCTTATCCAGTTTTCCACCACTTATTTATTTATTTATTTATGGCATTTATATGCCGCCCTTCTCACCCCGAAGGGGACTCAGAGCGGCTTACAATATATATTTTCATACAATATATTATATTATTAGCATAGTACAATATCAGTATATATTACTATATTGCACTATACCATTATATTGTAATATTATTAGTAATATTACATGTAATGTAAATATATAATTACAATTATAATATTGAATTATTATTACTAGTATTATATTGTATTACACTTCTTTTTATACGAGCCATGGAATGCATTGGCTCAATTCTGGGGTTGAGGAGGTCATGTTGAGATGAAGTATATAGTGTAGTACTGCATATGGAAGTATTACAGTATCTTAGCCTTGAAGCATCTTAGCCTTGAAGTCCAGCAAATTGGGGGATGCCAACAGGTTGCCCATCCTAATATAGATAGTAAAGAAAAGCATTCAGAGTAAGTAGCTATTGCCTTTAGTTTAAATTATCATATGGACTGAGTGACTGGGGAAGTTATCCCCCCCCCCCCACAGCTGTTTCACTCAGATGTGAGTGGACAGTTGTTCTCTTAGGAAGACGGTTTATGTCCTGTCAGATAATTCAGTATCAATATTCTTCCAAATGCCCTCAACTAAGCAGAAGTTTCTCTTTTCTCTTGGGTCTTGTGTGGAGATGGGAGACCAGCCGGTGGAGTGAGTGTTCCAGGACTTGCAGTGAAGGCTATCAATACCGAACTGTGCGTTGTTGGAAGATGCTGGCTCCAGGATTTGATAGCTCTGTTTATGACGACATGTGTGAGTCAATTGAACTAACCAGACCCATGGAAAGGAAACAATGCAAGAATAAACCTTGTGGCCCACAATGGGAGTTGTCAGAGTGGTCTGAGGTATGTGCTTCTTTGTTGGGGTTAAACAAAAGAATGGTCTACAACAGAGATGTGTGTGTGTAATAGGGAGTGGTAGTGACCCTTCAGTGTCCTGCAGGAGTCTACTGTGCTCTCCCTTGGCAGTTGCCTAATTTGTCGAAAACATGTTGTCTATGGCCATGTTGCCTGCACAATTCAACTAGGGAAATAGCGGGGTACATTTTTTTCTACTCTGAATGAAACTAACTGAGATACTCTATCTGTTGAAACTTCCACTTCTACACAACTCTAAAGCCTGCAAGAGTCCTGTCCTGTCCTTTTGAATTTGTCCATCTGATATGGAAGTCAATGCTCTGGCCCAGCTTACCTGTCCGAATGTATCACCTTCTACGTCCCACCTCGAAGTTTAAGATCTTCTGGGGAGGCCCTGCTCTCGGCCCTGTCTTTGGCGCAAACACACTTGGCGGGGAAAAGGGTCAGGGCCTTCTCTGTGGTGGCCCCCCGCCTGTGGAACTCGCTCCCCAGTAAAATCAGTTCAACAACATCCCTCCTTGCCTTCAGGAGGAAATTGAAAATGTGGTTATGGGACCAGGCCTTTGGGTCGCTTGCAGATAATTGACAATGACAGTGATGATAAGGCTATGGAAAATGGACTATGGATAGGCTTCTGATTGTGTTGTGTTTGCTGAATTTGCTTCTAGATAAGGCCAGACAGCCAGTATTATTGTACTTTTATCATTGTACTTTTTATTTATAAACAATTTTGAAACTAATTTAATGTATTATTCATAGTTAAGTGCTGTATGTATTATTTGTTATGTAGTGGCATTGAATAATGCTGGCTGTAAGCTGCCCTGAGTCCACCCTTGGGAGGTTGAGAAGGGTAGGGTACAAATGCTTGAAATAAATAAATACCGTATATACTCGAGTATAAGCCGACCCAAATATAAGCCGAGGCACCTAATTTTACCATGAAAAACTGGGAAAATGTATTGACTCGAGTATAAGCCAAGGGTGGGAAATGCAGCAGCTACTAGTAAATTTCAAAATAAAAATAGATACCAATAAAATTATATTGATTTAGTAGGTTAAATGTTTTTGAATATTTACATAAAACTGTAATTCAAGATAAACTGTACAAATCTGATTAAACCATTATTCTAACCTTCTTCAATGTAAATATGCTTACATGTCCTCCACTAATAATAAATAGAGTAAAATAATAAATGTAACAATAACAATAATGGAGTAAAATAATAAATGTAATAATAACAATAATAAAATAATAAATGTAATAATAATAATAATAATAACAACAACAACAACAACAAAGTAAAATAATAAATAACATTGACTTGAGTATAAGCTGGGGGAGACTTTTTCAGCCTAAAAAAAGGACTGAAAAACTAGGCGTATACTCGAGTATGTACAGTAAATACATAAATGCTGGTTGTCTTCCTCTTCAATAATAATAGCTATTCTGAGGGTCAATATCAATTACCTTCATGTGAAAGAGCTTTATAACATGGCACCAAAGTGTTTTCTTAAACTTGAGTCCATGCTTTACTTGAGGTCGGGGATGGAATTATTCAAACAGAAGTGAAAAATAAGATAAATTTACATATATGTTTCTTAATTCAACAAATGTATTATTTGTCCTCAGTTTAAACTCTCTTAGTAGGAGAACACAATCCTCCCCTCTTGCTCCTCTAAGGCCTAGTCTACCTGGTTGCTTGGCTATCAATGGGATTTGCACAAGTGTTGCTTGTTTCATCATTTAACATTTGGTACTGTGGGTCTCCTCCAGGTTGTTTGTTTGTTTATTTATTTATACCCCACTTAATCTCTCCCACAGAAGACTCAGAGTGGTTTGTTTATTTATACCCCACTTGATCTCTCCCACTCAAAGTGATTGACGTGTGTGTGTATTTTGATTGTTCTTTTCCTGCTTGGCGGGTGGTTGGACTGGGTGGCCCTTGTGATCTTTTCTGACTCCATGATTTATGGTTCTATGTCCCACCAATAGGATTGAGGCCCCGGATTGTCAGTGATTCAGCATGTAAGGCACTGAACACTGATAAGAAGAGGCATGTGCACTTCATAGCTGCTGTGGCACTCTAAGATTTCACATACCGGGCTCTTTGTCTGCAAAATTATGATTTCTATAAATGTTCAGTTTTTCTCAGTTTCGGAAACGAAATGTGCCGTTTCTTAATAAATTTAACATGCTGAATTCAAATATAATAATTAAATGTGTTAATTGGCTCTGGTTTTTAGGCAACAGCTATTACAATTTTCTCCACAATAGGTAATTCGTTAATATTATGATAATGCACCTAACCTTACTGTATGTATATAAACCGTGAATATTTACTAAATTTTAGTCAAATTATATTGCCAATAGTTTATACATGAGAAATATTTATTTAATTAGTCTATTGTTTATGTTTATGCAGCAAGAAACTATATTAGTAGGCCTGATGCAGTTGAAAAGTCTGAAAGTTTAAATGTCGCTTTAATCGTGACTTTAGTTTATATCCTGTTTGCTTCTCTTGACTTTTCTTTTGTATTCAAGGAAAGGATTGTCTCTTACAATGCTCCAGCAGTAGTCTGACAGCACTGACGGAGTCCATTTGCCTTGATATCTTTTTTCCATAGTGCTTTATTTACACACGTGCGAGGCATAACTACAGTCAAAAGAACAATGTAAAACAATGTTTAACCATACTGTCTCAGTCTTCAACTGACTGACCCTCACCGTTCAAAAGTCTGGCCTTATATAGGGCATTCTGGCTTTTGCACACGGCACTAATACTGCGTCATCAAACTTTCTAGAATATTCTAGAATCTTCCATAGCGTAAGTCTCAACATGCATTTTTTTCAACCATATGTGATCACGTGATTGCTTATATCATAAAAACTAGAGCCAATATACATTTTTAAATGTCATTTTCGTTTTCAGCACCCCAAAATCATAAAAGAACAATGATTTTCAGGCCCGCAACTTTTTCTCCGTTGAACAGTGATCAGTTGTTCTTGTAGTAATTAAAAATGTTTGCTTTTTCAGTAACCATTTGTAAGATGTCTTAGTCACTTTATCCTGCTGCATGACAAGATGACATGGCAATCCTGGATTGCTTGTGTGAATCATCTCAGGAATATTAAATAATTGTGGAAGTCAGAGGAAAATAAAGACACTGTCTTGTAATGGAATGAGTGGCAGTGAGCAGGGAATGGAGAATATTCCTTCTCTCCCACTAGAGTTATCCCAATGAAGCCATCTCCCCTCTTTCTTACGCCCAGTATCTTGTGCTCCTGTTCAGGCTCCTTTTCCAGCTCCGGCAGTGGTATATTCTTTTCTGGTTCCAGTCAGCAAAATCAACACAGTGGTGGTGGTAGTAGCAGCATTCTGTAGCAGAAGAGTCTCTAGAGCAGTTGTATAGCATCATTAGGAGCCTGGGAGACAGCGAAGAGGAGTACAGCACCACTAGAGAAGGAGCCAGAACAGAAGTGCAAGCACAGGGCCTTCTTGGCAGCAACAACTGAGATGAGAAGCACCTTGGGCAAAGGTGGAGCCCCTGGTGGCGCAGTGGGTTAAACCCTTGTGCCGGCAGGACTGAAGACCGACAGGTCGCAGGATCGAATCCGGGGAGAAGCGGATGAGCTCCCTCTATCAGCTCCAGCTCCTCAGGCGGGGACATGAGAGAAACCTCCCACAAGGATGATAAAAACATCAAATCATCCGGGCGTCCCCTGGGCAATGTCCTTGCAGACGGCGAATTCTCTCACACTAGAAGCGACTTGCAGTTTTTCAGGTTGCTCCTGACATGACAAAAAAAAAATCATCATAGGTGATCCCTCATGGCTGAGTATAATTGCCTTCCAAGTTTAGGGTCTTGGCGGTGGATCCGCAGGTGACTGCAGAAACCTATTCTTGATCTGCATGTTCTTTTGCAATGAGGGCATTGATTTCCAGATGGAAGGCGGTCCTGACAAGGTCTGTCTGGTAAGAATGTGTGATTCTTTACAGTGTTCTGCTCGGTGTGGTGGTCCTGGCACAATGAAGAGGGAAGTACGCTGCTCTGTAGAACCAAATCTGTGCAATGACTCTGTGAGACCTATCAGCGAGAAGGAATGCTCTGGGCCTCCCTGTGACAGGCAGTGGACTGTCTCAGACTGGGGATCGGTGAGTCAACATAGATTGTTTTGTTTTTTTTACTCCCTTTCCTTCACTCCTTCCACAGTAAGAAGATAGGATTAAGGATATATAGGGAGATTACAGGTTTGTGGACCCCTGGTGGCTGCTGAACTTGCCGACCAAAAGGTTGTTAGTTTGAATCTAGGGAGCAGGGTGAGCTCCAGCTGTTAGGCCCAACTTCTGCCAACCTAGCAGTTCGAAAACATGCAAATGTGAGTAGAGCAATAGGTACTGCTCCTGCAGGAAGGTAACAGTGTTCCATGCAGTCATGCTGGCCACATAACCTTGGAGGTGTCTACGGACAACGCTGGCTCTTTGGCTTAGAAATGGAGATGAGCACCACCCCCAAGAGTTGGACACAACTAGACTTATTGTCAAGGGAAACCTTAACTTTTACTTTACAAGCTTGTGGTGTGGGCACTATCAGACACTGCATGGCCATTCTGCATGGTCTTCAGTTTCACACTCAAGGTCAATTCTTGGATTTTTCTCTCTCTTTTATCATATTCTTGCATGTCTTAGTTATGGATGGTCCTGTGCAAGTGGAGTGAAGAGGTTTAAGTGTGTACAAGGGAACATTTATGTTGGCATAAATGTGGTGAAACGGGAACCTTTATACCTATGTGGTGGGAATGTGACAAGGCACATAAATTTAATAGGAAAAATTTGCATCCATTCCTCATTCTATACAGCTGTGTAGAACAGAAATGCCCCATAAACATGCCAAAGTTGTACAAATGTTCCAGATGGTAGATGAAATCATCCAGATTGTTTCTTTGAAAGGCCTTTTTGTTTCTCCAAGTGCTCAGGCTTGTGTGGTGAAGGACGGATGAGCCGCTTTGTCACATGCCGCAATCTGGAGGGGAAAGTCATCTCAGATTCCCAGTGCAACCCCAAGACCAAGCCTCTGGCAATATACCCCTGTGGAGATAAGAACTGCCCTGCGCACTGGGTGGAGCAGGAATGGGATCAGGTGAGTCTGCATTGGGTCATGACACTGATTTGCTTAGGAAGCAATTCCCTCAGCTAAAATAATAATAATAATAATAATAATAATAATAATAATAATAATAATTCTGACAAAAAACACTGTATGTCACAGCAAATGCGATCTTTATGCTGGATTTCGTATCACAAAATCACAAGTCGAACACTTCCCAATTGTCTAGGACTATGTGATGTATTTTCAAATGATCCAAGTAAGGTGGCCTTTTGCAGTTGACAGATCGTGATTTTGTCAATGTTTATTGTTTCCAAATGCCAGCTGAGATATTTTGGCATGGCACCCAGTGTGCAAATGACCACTGGAACCACCTGTACTGGTTTATGCCAGAGCCTTTGCAATTTGATTATTATTATTATTATTATTATTATTATTATTATTATTATTATTAATCAGAAATATCACAAGACGAGTCCACAGCAGGCACTCTACTTGCTGTTGTATTGGATCACACGTCGGACACTTCCCAAGTGTCTAGGACTGTGTGATGTATAGGCAAATGATGTGTGCAGATCCCAGTAAGGTGTCCTTCTGCAGCTGGCAGATGGTAGTCTTGTCAGCACCTATTGTGTTTAAGTGCAGGCCAAGGTTTTTAAGCACTACATCCAGTGTGCTGATCACCACTGGGACCACCTTGACTAGCTTGTGCCAGAGTCTTTGCAGCTCAATCTTTAAATCCTCATATTGTGTCAACTTTTCCAGTTGTTTCTCTTCATCCCTGCTATCACCTGGGATTGCAACATTGATGATCCATATTTTGTTTTTTAACACGATTGTGAGGTCAGGAGTGTTGTGCTCCAAAACTCTGAATCCGGAAGTCCCAGAGGAGTTTGACGTCCTCATTTTCCGTAACGTTTCTGGGCTTGTGATCCCACCAGTTCTTTGTTGCAGGCAGATGGTATTTGTGGCACAAGTTCCAATGAGTCACCTGAGCAATGGTGTTATGCCTCTGCTTGTAGTCTGTCTGCGCGATCTTCTTGCAGCAGCTGAGGAAAAACCTACAACAACCCGATGTGATCTATTGTTTCATCTGCTTCCTTGCAGAGTCTACATTTGGGATCTGTTGTTGACTTTTCAATTGTGGCTCTGATGGCATTGGTTTGAATGGCTTGTTCTTGGGCTGCCAGAATCAGGCTCTCTGTCTCCTTTTTCAAAGTTCCATTTGTGAGCCACAGCCATTATTATTGTTGTTGTTGTTTATTGTTTATTATGTTTATTTATACCTTGCTTGTTCTCTCCACAAAGGAGGCTCAAAGCAGCTAGGAGACTGAAAAGTTTTGACTTCTACAGATGAGTGTATTTCTTGGTTAATCTGTTAAATCAGTTCTGTGCAGTGTCTTCACCTGAACTTCAGTGGTCTCAAATCGGGGATTGAAGATTTCAATCCTGTATGCCCTTATAGCAGCACGCAACCTGATGGATCAACATGACCTGATTTTGGGCCCTTCTACACTGCCATATAAAATTCAGATTTTCTGCTCGGAATGGGATTATATGGCAATGTAGACTAATATAATCCAGTTCAAAGCAGATAATATGCTGGGCAGTAGCAACCAATAGTGAAAGGACCAAGGCAGTGACATCTCTGGCCCACCCCCTGTTTGGGTATCAGCCAGCACACCAACGACTTAAATCAAGAAATAGTTTTCTAAGATCTACAGAGACACTCGCTGGAGCACCTCAGCAAGCGAGAGTCCAAAAGTGGCAGGTTCAAACCCAGAACCTCAATCAGTGGCTGATATAAAATGAGAGACTCCCTCCTGGGTACACAGAAAACTGGGCGACTTGGAAGGCGCTGAACAGACTGTGCTCTGGCACCACGAGATGCAGAGCCAACCTTAAGAAATGGGGCTAGAAAGTGGAATCCACGACATGAGAGTGTGAAGAGCAAACTGCAGACCACCTGCTGCAATGTAACCTGAGCCCTGCCACATGCACAATGGAGGACCAGAGGCACTTCAGGTTGCCAGCTACTGGTCAAAGGACATTTCATCAACTACCAAGCTTGCAAACTTTGTGTTTTGTTTGTTTGTTTGTTAAAAAATGCAATACAACTGTTTGGCTTGCTCCTGACACGATAAATAAAAATAAATAACCAAGTAACTCTACTGGTCAAAGGACATTTAATAGAATACCAAATCTGCAAACTTTGTGTTTTGTTTGTTTGTTTGTTTTTAATGCAATACAGCTGTTTTGTTTCGCTCCTGACACAATAAATAAATAAATCTGCTTTATATGGCCGTGTGGAGGGCCTTTGGCTTACTGAAGGGTTAGAGCAGGGGTCCTCAAACTTTTTAAACAGAGG